GACATTTTTTGTCGTTTTTATGAACAAAAAATTACTCAAGAAACCTTATATCGGATTGTTGGAATTGCCATATGGCAGATAAAAAAGTATATTTCTAAAAATATGGATATAAATATGTTTGTCTTCAGGAAATTATTAAATCTTCCGCCATTTTGTAGTAGGTGAAGATATTGACTTCATATTCTAGGGTTGTGAAATTTTCGTCAGGAGCTTTTCATTTAGTTTTTTTCCCAGATGGCGCCCAGTCGCCATCTTCAAAGTTTCATCTGTCAATTTCACTTCAAAATAAAGTATTCATGCATTAATTCCATTCTCCCAAATTTCAATTTTTTTAGTTTACCCGTTCAAAAAATAAAAGGTGGGGACATTAAAAACATGCACTGTATGTTAAACATACTACAACATATAAAATTCGAGTGGTAATTAAAAAAAACCACAAGAAACATCAATCTGGAATGTTTATTTTCAATTTCGTACTGTAATTTACGGCACAATTCCAGGTACTGGTCACTAACATATATGTTTCAATGTTTGTGATTCATTTCAATGATCATATATTTTTGTTTATGTTGCATGTGCATGTTGACTTTATTTTGAGTTGCATTTTTGCACAGTATTAATTTCATCTGACTATTTAATAGGGACTAGCTGAATATGTTGTTCAATATGAATATGGAGGTTAATGTTAATGTTAGCGAATATGGTGACGGAGTAAAAATATTTGAGACCTGAAACTATTTTCTAACTACTGTTGTTTCAAAAATTAAAAAGTTCTTCAATCCTTACAATATCCACGAGAATAATATGAAATTTCCAGCGTTAACTCAATATTTATCTTTGAAAGCCGTTTCCAGGAAAATAATTCGGATCCACTCACATATCAAATAACTTCAACGTAATTTATATCATTGAATCTCAAACGAACAAGTAGGTATTGGGATATAATCCAAACTTCGGGCTGAAACTTTTCGAATTTTGTATTTTCTGTTTACTTTCATGATTGAGTTCATCTGGGTGTGAGATGTTGAATTTGTACAAACCGAAACTCAATTGATAATGGTAACAGTATTGGTTACACTCAACAAATGTTTTTCCCTGAGAATAATATTGACTGAAACTTATGATTTTTATCCTATTCCCTTATGCTATTCACGAATGTATTTAGGGATCAACAAATCCCAAAACTCAAAGCTTCTTATGCGTTTTCAATCTTGTACTTATCCATGCATGTAACAGTTTTTGTTTCACCTCAGCTTATTTGATGAATAACTTAAATAGACAATGTTGGCTATCGCAATTCTTGAATTTCCATTCGAGAAGTTCAGCTCATGGAGGTTTTGGCGTACTTGAAGGTGATACGATTACAAAAAAAAATGAAAAACAGTTAATCTAGCTACAGTTATAGCATTTACTCTCAACTCTCTGAATGAAACAAAACGGAATGATGTTTTGGTTGGTGTCCGGGATTTGCCGTGGTTTCTTTAGTTACAATATCCAAACGTTTCAACTGCAACTGCGGTAGTCATCTTCAGTGGCGTGGTTGAAGTATCAACTGAAACTGAAGCTCTCATTTCTGCCATGTCATTTATAGTGCTGATTTTTCGCGCGCTTTCTGCACTTTCGTATCAATTGATAGATCGAGAAGAGTACTTTGAACACGCCACTGAAGATAACTGCCGCAATTGCAGTTGACACATTTAGAGATTGTAACCAAAGAAAACCACGGTAAAATCTTTATGTTCAATTCAGGTTTGAATATATTGTTATTTATGTTGTTCGTTGTCATATCTATATATTGCGATTTATTCATCCATTTTATTTGTTTATTTATCCAAGCATTGTGTATATATTATGTTTTTACTATATACCAGGCGAAATCACACATAAGACACATTTTTCGAAAATGTTTCTTTTGTGATGCCTCTGTTTGTTTACCTTGCTACTTTATATTGTTGTAAATCATGCCCTGAAGGAAATAAAGTCGGCCGCCACTAGTAACCATAAACCAAACGTGGCGTAGCTGAGAGCGTGGGAATATTCGATGTTACCTGCCGCTCAAGAAGGAGCAAGAAACGTGCTACCGACATCGATAGAGCTTCGGTGAAATTCTACGATGTTCCATTGCGATATTTAAACGCTGGCTGCAAGCGTATTCAGACAGTCAAGTACACAGTGAAGTAGATGTAACAGTGCGGTACGCGAAGTGATCTAGTAAGGCAATAGACATTCATATAATAGTTGAAATTTTTAGGTGGAGTGTTTTTTGTATTCCAAGTGAAATAAAGTTAAGTTTGATTATTCAATGTAGTCAATTATTGGCGAACCCACGGGTAAAAACGTAACAATATATTATATCCTTCATTATTTCGTAAATAAACTTATTATTATTATTATTATTATAAAACCCGAAAACCAACCAAAATATTAATGCCAGCCGTTAAAGCCTACATCCCTATGAAACGGAATGATATTTCTGATCTAGAAACAATTGAGATTTGAATAATAATTGATGTCATGGATCAACTGAAATTCTTATTTGGTATCTTGAATTGAAAAGGTGATTGGTGAAATAGTCACTGAATACTTCAGAATTTTTTTGTGGCATTCCTGGATGTAATTTATGTACTTATACCGTACTCTTTTTAAATTATCATCTTTCTCAGATATCATCCACAGTTGTAGTAACCTGGAAAATCTGCTACCTTGTTTCTCACTGCTATTTCTTAAACTTTCAAAAAGAAATCTATGTACGCCTTCTGTTCAAAAAATAAGGTGAATTTTCATTTTTCCCAAAAAATATTCATAAATTTATATTTTTTCCCCTTCAAATTTGTCCCCCCTCATATACAGGGTGTTTATTGAACACGCGGCAAAAAATCAAGGGACCTATCTTTGGGACCATTCCAGGGATATTTTATCCTTTGATAATTTTTGATAGGGCGCTTTGTTTCGAAGATACGGGGCGAAAAAGAATTTTGACAATAACAATTTTGGTAATTTTAAAATTATTAACGTAGCCGAAATAAAAGTATAGCGTACTACACTGGACCATCCAAGTAATGAAAAATCTAACAATTCTGTTCGACAACATTCCGATTACTACAAACAGCTGCAGACATTCAATTTGAATAGTATGTCTCGTAAGTGATCCTGGTGTTTTTGAAAGAGTTTGCATCCGAGCGGGGGGTAGTTTTTTTCAACAGGTCTTGTAGATTAAGAAACATTATATGTAATTTTTGGTAATGAATTGTTATTGTAGAAACGTTTTCCGCTCCGTATCTCCGAAACAAAGCGCCCTATCAAAAATCATCAACGAACAAAATATCCTTAGAATAGTCCATAGAATAGTCCCTTAAGTTTCTGCCGCAGGTTTAATGAACACTCTGTATAATACACTTGTGCCAGCAATTTTTCCAATGCTCGACCAAGTTCTGATATGCACTTTTCTTTTCTTCTGAATCGTCGCAAAACGCCGGCCTTTCATAGGTCTCTTCAATCTTGGATGCATCAGACTACTATTGTGTATATAGGTACAATAAAATTTCATTTTTGTACTTTGTTCCAGTAATTCTTCTATATCCAACATATGAGTCACCGATTCAAAAGCTTTTTTGACAGATATTTCTGTTGATGTCAGTGACTCATCGACACATTTTTTAAATTCAACAAAATAACCCTTCACACTTGATTATCGCGTAGGCAATTGAACTATCTTGAAAAGTGCTGGAAACGATATAAATGCAAACAGAAAATCATACGTCCCAAGAATATGTGTGACGTCATAAGGATTGTATATGAGTCGGTGCGGTTGGCTTGCTGCCAAGTAAAAAGTGCACTTTTCAATATATTCAAATTTGGAGAGGCTTAAGAGTCTAAAATTGCTGCGTGGTGCAAAAAAATCTGTAGGTTGTACTCATTTTCTCTTTCTGTTTGACAAAATTCGGTCAGATTCTACTACCCCTTTTTGGTTTTTCATTCCTGATGAAGTCAATTTGAATAGTTTGTTATTATGTCATTATTTTTTTGATCAATTCTACTGTTTCAGAATTCTTTAGAGACATAGTTATAAACACTTTATGTTGGCGTATTGTAAAAATATAACCGCGCCTACGCCAGATATGGCGTTTATGAAAGGCAATCAACCAGAAAACCAGAAGTCTACAGTATATTCACTAAATGCAAATAGTTTTTTATGATATCCTCGCATGAAACCATTGCGCTCATTAGTAATAGAACATTTGTTTTTTGAAATATATCAAGGATATAAAGTCATTCATCGGGCATAAATATTCGTTTGCGATCTATATTGGTGTCAAAAGAACAAAATCAAAGGTAATATTTTTCCACTACTCATACAATTGGTGATTGGTGATATGATTTAAACGTTCTACAATAGTTTGGAATTTAAAGAAAAATTGTACTTTAATGACCTACCGAGACTTCTGATATCACCAAATTCTCACACATTTTTTCAGCGGTTAGCTGTTTGAATTTCTATGGTTTTCAGCACTTTTGAAATTTTCGTCCAAGGTAAAATTTTATATTGCTTAACTTAAGTTTAAAGAGTTTTTTCGCACATGAAAAATATCTGTTTGTGACATACGGTATAGAGTAAAGTATGAGTAAATGATATAACGCAAATTAGATTAAAAATATTTGTCACCAATTGGGAGTGAGTCTTGATTAAATTGAAAAGGTCATTGAAAGAACACTTGTTCATAGTTCTATGGAAAATCTAAAACAAAACTCACAGGGCCTGAAATCTTACATGAGCTGTACTCGTACTTCACTATTTCAGCTGTTTAGTAGTCATTTCCAAAAAAGTTAACAAATGACATTAATTGTTAAAAGCATTTATAACAGTCAGCAATTGGCATCAGTGAGTATGCCACAGAAACAGTATTTACTATCAATTAAACAACATATATGAATGGGTAAGTACAGGAGCAGTGTGAACTATTTTGATTTAGTTATTTTGCTTTTCATTCCTGACATGGCAGCTGCTAGACCATGTCCTCTTCAACCCGGCGCTCTGGATTTACACTCCTGCCTGCGTTCAGACGAGACTTTATTCTTATCTGGCGACGGAATTTTTGTCCGACACCCAAATCTACTCTAACGTGAGGAGGGTGTCGACGGTTCTCCAGACGGTGCACACGCTCAAATACTACTACTGGGTCGTCAATCCTAGATCCAAGAGCGGAATTTCTCCCAAAGGATTAGGTAAGTTTGAAGACTCCTTACGTCTAATACTTTTTGTAGTTGAGAGTTTTGGTGTGTGAGCCAATCGAGAAAACGATTGCAGATGCATATTTGAATCTTATCTGAAAACCTCTTCGAGAAATCTCACTTCGAAACCAATCCTAATGCTGAATGAATTTCAGATGGTCCAAGACCAGCCCATAAAGATATCCTCGGCATTCGCTCCTACATACTCCTCTTCCTCAAACAACTCATCATGGTTGGCAACGGCGTCAAAGATGACGAGCTGCAGAGTATTCTCAACTACTTGACGACTATCCACGAAGATGACAACCTGCACGACGTCCTGCAGATGTTGATCTCGCTGATGTCAGAACACCCTTCGTCGATGGTGCCCGCTTTCGACGCTAAATGCGGTGTCAGGACGATATTCAAACTGCTCGCCTCCGAGAGTCAGCTCATCAGGTTGCAGGCCCTCAAATTGCTCGGATTCTTTTTGAGCCGCAGCACACATAAAAGAAAATACGACGTTATGAGTCCGCATAACCTGTACACTTTGCTGGCTGAGAGGTTGCTGCTCAACGAGGATACTCTATCTCTGCCTACTTACAACGTCCTCTACGAGATTATGACGGAGCATATTAGTCAGCAGATCCTGTACACTAGGCATCCAGAGCCTGAGTCTCATTTCAGGTTGGAGAATCCAAGTAAGTGCTCATATTCATATTTGGTGAATTATTGTTAATTATCTGATTTCTTTGAAATGTGATTATTGTCTACATAAATAATGCAGCTTCTTGTATACTCCCGTTTTGATTGACCGAACAAAAATACTGTTTTCGACAAGTTTTGAAATAAAAAGTATATTGGGAGATCAAATATGACAAAATGGTCAAGGCCGTGGACTTTTAGAATGTCTTCCTGACATTTCGCTGGCACGAGTTGCTAGCTTCTTCAGAGGTTAATCTATTTATCTATCTCTGATGTTTTAGGTACAATCAAAATATGCTATGGTTGATATATCCAATGAACCCCATTTCATGTTCAGTCTTTTTTATATTCACTACAACAATATCTGATCAGAGTTCACTAAATTGGTAATAAAATGAAACCAATTAATATGTCTGCCTCAAATTCTATATGAAGGGGCAAATTTATGTCTCTTGAAGTATTTTGGTAGTCCATTTGCCTCAAGTTCTGGAAACATTTCAAATATGGTTAATTCATTTACTTACAAAACAACCGAATATATTCCACAATGTATCTTATCTATTCTGACTTTCGTCAAATCTTCCATTGTTATTGATATATTTTTTACTATGAATCATCATATTCATTTTGCAAAGATGAAGAGTTCTGATACTTTGAGCAAATGATTAATTTTTTAAAACTTCTCATTTTCAGTGGTGCTCAAAGTGGTTGCAACTCTAGTAAGGCAATCGAAGCAAACCGACCAACTTCTGGATGTAAAAAAGTTGTTTTTATCAGACATGACCCTTTTGTGTAACAACAACAGAGAAAACAGAAGAACGGTATTGCAGATGTCCGTCTGGCAAGAATGGCTCATTGCTATGGCTTACATCCATCCTAAGAATACAGAGGAGCAAAAGCTTTCGGATATGGTGTATTCTCTTTTCCGGATGCTGCTACACCATGCGATCAAATACGAATATGGCGGATGGAGAGTTTGGGTCGATACTCTGGCTATTGTTCATTCAAAAGTAAGTCGATCAATACAAATATGTCATATAAATGAATTGACTCAATTTCCTGTTGTGCTGTTCATGATAGAAAAAGTGTTTAACTGTATTCAAATTTACTTTTGCGAAGATTTTTTGAACAGATCGTCAGAAGCGTCCAGAAAGTGAAATTATCTTTATCACATAAAATAAAACCCAATTCTGGACATGTACTGTTGATTTCCATCAGATTTTTAGAGCCCTATTATACAATCATTACTATTCACGCGTTTAAAAGATTATCTTGATTGTTTGTCTTGCTTTTGCTTAGAATATTCAATGGCAGACATCTGGGCGACCAAGGATCAGGCAGAATGAAATTTACTGGGTTCAAATGCCTTATCCAAAGTTGTGGTTTCTATTGCAAAATCTGAAAAAGTGAAAACTGAGAGAAAATAAATCATAATTGAAATTCAGAAGATTGCAACAAAAACGTGAAAATAATATCATTCCAACAATTCCATTCTCAAAATTTTGTTTCCAGTTTTAGTTTGTACACATCTGAGTTAAAACAACTTTTCAGTTCGTTTTTCAGGTAGTTCATTATGCATTCCCAGTTCCCAGTACTTTTCATATTTCTTATTGACCCATTTTCTGACCTGGTGTGGTATTAGAGGAGTTATCATATCATAGATTTTGGTACCTACTCCCACAGGTGATTTTTATGTTGGATTTTTTTTAAATCAAAATTAGCTCTGAACCAGCTGTGGCAGTACCAAAATCTATGACATGACACCTACTCCCACGCGTCGACTGTGGTGATGCTTTGGAGTAGGGGAGTAGGAAGTGACCCTTGCGAAGAGTAGTGACGAGACCTGTAGAGTTGGCAGATTTAGATCCCTTCGTCAAGTGAAGTGAAGTGTGTTACTACCTGAGGAGTAGGCAGATTGAGACTTCAGTTATACTTTTTTGAAAATGGCTTCAAAGTCGAACTCTAGACGTGATTCAACCTGAATATAGAATCAGTTATTATTAATTATAAATCTCGATATCACACTTGGGTTCATCAGTGGTCCTCAAATCAATATTACACAGATACTTCAAGATTGCATTTACTTTTTACCAGTTTTCACAATCAAAAATAAAATGAAAAAGCTAAAGCAATAGATAATCTGCTGAAGTATAATATAGTACAAACTGAAAAGTTTATTCAAAAAATTCTCTGTGTAATTTAAGTCACTGAAGTTAGTATTTCGTCGTATTCGTAATATAAACTACTCAAAATGAATATAGAAACATGCCCTCAAAATGCAATAACTAAAAAAATATGTATTATTTTGTCAAACATTTATATTTATAAAATAGTTTATAGGTGCCTTTATTAAATTTAACTTACATTGTTTTCAAAATGCTGTTTGGTAATACGATTAAAAAGAAATACAAATGAGTGTCGAAAACAAATAAAATTTATTTCGGAAAATAATTAAGATAAATGCACATTAATAGTGAGTACGTCCACCCCTGTCTCTAAGAAGTTCGGCATAACGACGAGGCATGCTTTCCACCAAATTTCTAATTATTTGTTGTGGTAACTGCTCGTAAATCGTCAAAAGAGCATCTGCAACTTAGAGCTATTCGATAGGATTTAAATCCGGACTATTAGCTGGCCATCTCATGACATTAATATTGTGCTCCTCTAGGAAAATTTCTCGCGATCCTGGCTACGTGTGGCCTGGCATTATATTGTTGTAAAATGAACCCAGCGCCCATATTTTGGACAAATGGGACGACATGAGGTTCCAATATCTCCTCTATGTACCGGACAGCCGTTAAAGTCCCTTCCCGAAATACCACAAGGTCCGTGTGTCCTGTCAAAGTTATACCAACCCATACCATTATCGATCCACTTCCAAATGGAACAGTTTCTTGCACACAGTCATCCAAATAGCGTTCACCGGGACGTCTACATACCCGAACATGTCCGTCATTATTAAATAACATGATTTTTTTTTCATCTGTAAACATTACATTGGCCCACTGCTCTAAATTCCAATTACGATGCTCTTGACAAAAATGTCTACGATTTCCTCGATGAGCTGGAGTTAATCTAAGGGCTCTAGCAGGTCGTCTTGCATGGATTTGTACTTCGTGAAGTCGGTTTCGTATCGTTTGGTTCGAAATTTGTGTTCTCGTAGCTTCTATAAGGCGATTTTGCAGTGTTATAGCAGATTCGGTGCGACCCCTAATTGCTCAAAGTCGTAACAAACGATTTCTTCTGCGGGTTATTGCCCTTTGTCGATTGGGATAAGGGGCTCTTTTTACTATGCTGTAAATTTGGTAGCGGTTCCAAGCTCTGGAAACCGCAGAATTACTCACATTAGGCATTTGAGCTACACGACATCTTGAATACCCTACTTTGATCAATGCCACTGCTCTAGCAACTTGAAATTCGTTGAAGTAAACCTTACGTATCCTCCTTCTGCATCCTTAATACCTATCACGAACTAAAGTAAAGTGAAACTAAATACAGAATTTTTCATATTAATGATTTTGTAGCTAAAAGTAAAAAAGAAGTAAAAAAAGTAAACAACAATCGAATGGAACATGATAAGAATTAGTATGAAGTACACACCAGAAGTTTTCATTTATTTACTTATTGGATTTCAAGGATGTGTCTCTATATTCATTTTGAGTAGTTTATTTCGCTTTCTTTGGATCAATAAAATTTCGTAAAACTGTCTTGTCCTGTTCTCAAAGCTTAATGTTTCTCAAAGGAAAAATTATTGTGTTTTGATTCAAGCGTTCTTCACAGGTGACTTTGTTAGTTTTGAGAAAGGATGTCTTTGATGTTTTTCGAAGGAAATATTCTTGTATAAGTTTGAAGTGCTCTTCCCAAGTGAATTTATTAAGTTTTGAGAACGGAAAAGGATAAATTTCCTAAACGTTAACCATATGAAAAAAAATATTGGCAAAATGCAAGAATCTATAAAGTTAATGACTAATTGTTCCAATTGCTCCAATGATAACACCATTGATGAAAAGAGTAGTATATACAGACTAATATAACCAGCCCATCCCCCTTGAGGAAAGAATTAAACTGATATTCAGCCCAAAGGGTTCATATAAGAATAATGAGAATAATATATTAGGGAACAGAATCCCTCCAATACCTTGAACGACAAATTTGATTTATATAATTTTGATATCAATGATTCCCATGACATTGTTGGATTGAGACTGAGAACATTCAATTTATTTTTTCAGGTATCATATGAAGAATTCAAGTTGCAATTTGCACAAATGTACGAGCACTACGAAATGCACAGGGCCGACAACATAACAGATCCCCTACTGAGGCAACAACACCCGATCAGCACCATCTCCGGTTGGCATGATACTGCTCAGAACATCCCGAACGGGTGTCACCCAGACAACGAAAGGTGGCAAAACTCTCGTGCGTCTCTTCAGGAAATTGAGCTCAACGAAAACGACAAATCGGAGCAGGTGTGTAGCTGCGATTATAACTCTACCCTGTCGGACGGTAGTCCGGTGTCGTACGTTGCTAAGCACGAAGACAGTGAAGTGGTTTCTCTAGACTCGAGAACTAGTGATCTGTTCAGTGACGGCAAGATCAGTAAAGAGTCCCCTTACTCTCAGGACTCCCCGCTGAAGTCTCAGACAGCCGAAGACAATATGGACGTCACCGCCGACTCTCCCGTCTGCAACGGCATGCACACAGAGAGCAGCCCGAGCTTCGGCAGCCCGCTCAAAGTCAATTCTGATCGCGCCGAGGTCATCGAAGAGATCATGCAAGAGATCTTGTCGAAATCGGAAAAACTGCTGGAAGACCGCGTCAATATTTGCTCATCAGACTCCAGGACGATCTCGCCGGTCGTTCAGGACCAAGAAATAGCTCAAGCAGTCAAAGAGGTTGTGAATAATGTACCAGAAGTAGATAGGGGGAAGACTCCAGTAGAACTCGTAGGCGACGGTGTGGTGGAAGAATCGCCGGAAGTGCCTGCACATGAAAGTCGAGTAACAAGCGCGGACATAGAATTATCGAGTCCCGACACGGATGTTTCAAGTCCGATGAAGACAGTGTCCAGTCCCGAACGAGAGGTACCAGATAGCGATCTGTCTGAAAGGTATAGATAAAAAGTTTCATTACCGATTCAACAGTAACAAAATTCAGATTAAAGTGAAATCTTCTCACAAAAAATACCAGCACATTATCACAGATTGAAGGCACCGCTCTTTTCCTTGGTGTCATAAATGCCGATACATCATTATTGTTGTAGTATCTGCTTTGAGAGCAACCCGAGTTTTTCATCCAATGCCTCATTGCCTTTAATGATGTCTACTGTAGTTGTGGAACGTCAGGCATGGTCAACAGAAATGTAAAATAGTAGTTATCTCCGGCTGTGAAAGATTAGACTTTAAAAAATATTTTGTCATTAGAAAATAATTTCATTTTTCATTATGTCACATAATATATTGTTAACGAATGATATAAATATTAACAGTTCAGTTTCGTCATCAGCAGGTTTTAATTTATAAGTTCAAAAGTGTGGTTGGAATCTGAAACTTATTGTTTTTGAGAACACTGAATCGCTCTTTCGAAAAACTAACAGCCATTAATGGAGAATTATAAAAATGTCCCAAATTTAAACAAGTAGCAAACATTTTGTTGGATTCACACATTCTTAGTCGGATCAAATATTTATTAAATGTAAAGGGATAAAGTTCTAAAAATACTCTGAATCAAATTTACACTGTTTAGAAAAAAGCATTGAAAGTTCTGTATCGTCTTCCATATGATACTTCAAAGAACCAACTATACTCAGAAACAAACTCATTTTCTTATCAACAAAAAAAATGTTATTCTTACGTTAACAAGGTATTCAAAAGTAGTCCATACTCACAAAACTAGTCAACAAAATTCGTTCCTTCTCGATGCTGCTTTGTGGTTGACCAGAAAAGATTCACTTTTCGCTTTCAATAAATATTGCCTGACCAAATGAGAAACTGCAATAACTTCAAAATATTGTAGTTATATATATTTGAAATAATATGGAAAACATTTATTTTTCAGGAATATCTATGATTAATATTTTTTTATGATCGAATATTCTACTTTGTCTTTTGTACAATCATATTCATAATAATTCATAAATTAACAAACATGTATAGCAAGAACTCTTTCATATTTCATTTTTATGATACCAACTAGCTTCACATGTGATTCTCTTTAACATGTTATAAATTATGAAGGAGATATCCTGAAACATTTGTCTGAGAAAAAAATCTCAAATAAGCCGTGTTTTTTCTAAAATTTAGTAAGTCATGGGTTATCAAATGTTGATTTTAAGACTTTAACAAGAAACGGTTTTAAAACCTGTGTTATCCACACCTCTCACAATTTTTTGGTTTGATAACAAACTTGGTTTTTTGTTTGAAAACTAGTGGTTATATAGATGAAGCTTTGTAGTTGACAATGTCATAGTTCATAAATCAACATAAGAATCTATCAAAAACTCACTTGAAGCGACATCCCTAATATTGGAAATTGATTAACAATAATTCATCAACTCCCAATTGTGAATAGTCACATTCATTCCACTTCTAATTATGATCATCTATCTATTTCCTAAAATTCGTAATGGAATTATAAAACTAATGTATGAAGTAGAAAATTCCGCACTTTATTTTCAAAATTTGAACTGTGGTATATTGTCTTGGGAAGGAGTTGAAACAAATCTAAAAAATCTTGAAATATTACAAAAGTGATTCTTGAAAAATTGTTCAATAAGAATAATCATTGCACCTCTGATTATATATATAGACAACTAGAATATTTTTCCAGAACACTATAGATGTAGACAAATGCAATAACATCGTAGGTTTTCAATAATTTTGACTTACTTTTCATTTATTATTTCATGTAATAATGAGAAGTATGAATGAATAATTTTTATTTTTATCTAAATAAACATTCTTGGAATAGGTAAGTGTCCTCTTAGTTGACCACTTGGTTGCAAATTAGTTTTTATTCTGTCATTTTTTTCGCAACAGGAACGATTTCATCTCGTGTCTGGTTTTTGCAGGTATCTCACTCCAACAGAAGAAATAATGGAAAGGCGAGATGACGATATTGAGTCGTTGGCAAAGACTGACGTTTGTGATAAGGAGCACATTAGGACAATTCAAAGTGCTGCGAAGGAAAGAGGAGATGAGAAAACAAACTCTGAACCTACGGATTTTGATGCAGTTGCTGTGCCTGAAGAGGGTCAGGGTGACGTCAGCGACAAAGTGAACATTAGTAATACTGAAACTGTTTATAAAAATTCTGAAGCTGTGCCAATTGTTGAAAATAGTGCTGTGTCTGTAGAATTAGAGCCGTCCAAAAATGATTCTAGTCTAAGTGAAACAAACATTCAACCTAAAAGTGATAACGATTCTAAATTAGATAAAGAGGGCGCTATCGACAGTGAAGCTGAAGTGCCTCCGGTTGAAAATATATCAACAATTTCACAATTCTGTGATCCTAGTCATTACGATACTGTTGCTGATACCGACAGTGATGTTATTGTTAAAAATGTTGGTGTCAGTACAGACTGCATCGCCACCAATTCGACTGAAGTGTCTCCCAAACCTTCCGAGGGTGCTATCAAGAGGAGGGTGAGTCTACCGACGAACCATCTGGAGAGCCAAAGCAATGATTTCGTCATGGAAACTACTAATCATTCCATTTCACCTCAGAGGAGGCCAAGAAGTGCTAGTACTTCTACTCAGGTGGATCCCAATCTTTTTGGTAAGTTTGTCAATATATAGATATATAACAAATTGATATTAGTTTTATAAATATTAATATTTTTATTAAAACAACGATAAAAATCAAATAAAAACAACAATAAAAATTAATTGGCGCTCCGGGGCGACTTCATTGATTCCAGTGGCGCATTTGCTTTTTCAGCTGCAGGAAAACCCGGAAAAACCTGCAGCACCACATCATCTGAAGATCTTGATCTAACAATGTCCTCTCTCTTATAAAACAAAATGTAGGGTGTCTCCAGAGGCTCCAATGATTTTATAAATATGCGCATTTTTGTGAATGAATTCTTTTTTAATCTGATTCAAAAATATTAAATAGTTTTATTCAGATTATGTGGAATTTTCAGTTCAACTATTTTGCTCAAAATTCTCCATAGATATTAACTCCACTTAAGTTATGAATATTGTAAAACTAATATAAAGCTTTCTTGATATAAAGAATATTATGGTATTGTAAATAATAAATGTTGATTTGCTAGGAATCGCACGTTGAAAGGTAACAGTTGTCGTTTGTGAAGAGATGGACAGCTGGTTAATGATAAACAGGATTTTTCAAAACATATATCGAATGATTGACTAGTTGTCAAAGAGTCAGAAAAAAATTAAAAACCACGTATTTTTTGCGAATGTTTTAAATTTTATTGTAACTCGTTAATTAATCCGTCTCTTGAAACATTATTCAGATTACTCTAATGAGTCACAGAAAAAAATGTATATTATGTGTCACAATATAACAGAAAAATTAATTTTTATTTACAATATTTCTGTTCAAAATTAATTTCATCTCGGAAGCTTCTATTTTATATTCATTTACATATTAAATATTTGAATTGAAGGGGTTATATTTTTAGGAGTGATTAATTTTTGGGAAAGAAAGTTTTTGGCTTTCTACTACTCCATCTGATACAAAAAAATGGATGAGAGAATCTTCCAAAGAAAGGAAGGAAGTAATCAATTTTAAAATAACTAACTCTATACTTGGATGTGTAGATCATGCAAAGAAGTAACTTTCAGATAAAAACTGAAAGAAAGTCCTCCTGAAACAGCTACTGTCATATAAACATTGAATTACACAAAAGAAAAAAATTCTTTCCAATATTAAATATATTTATGAAATTTACTAAAAATTGCCTTTCATTCAAAAACAGTTCGTGATTATGCTATGAGGTTGGTGATAATAATTTTAAGGGGTTAACTTAATCTTCAACAAAGTTTAAATGTAAGGAATTCATGGAATTCCAAAGAAATAACTTTAGCAACATTCAAAATAGGGAAATTCAACATAAAACAATATATTTATTGGCAAAAAATTACACATAAAACAAAAACCTGGTATAAATATACCGTCTTCCATTATGCACTTCCTATCTTTAAATTTAAATAAAACAAAATGAAAAAAATTGTACTATTTGCACATGTTGGTAAATACTATATCGGTCTATGGTGATTTGGCAAAACAGACTGAATAAATGACAACTAAATTGACAGATATAGCTTCAACAAGATGGCCTTCATCAATTGTCAAAGTTTGGAAGACCCTATTGGAAGATCTCATATTAATTAAATTGTAAATGGGTTAGAAGTTTGGCTTACACATTTCTTCTGTTATAATTTTTCCGACACCCAACTTTGAATGGGCAAATACATCTTTTGATATTGCAATTAATTGCAGAAACAAAACCTTCCAAATCTGGATCATCCAGACCGATGTTCAGCCCAGGTCCAACAAGACCACCTTTCAGGATACCAGAGTTCAAATGGTCTTACATCCATCAGCGATTGTTATCAGACGTTTTGTTTTCCTTGGAAACAGATATTCAGGTGTGGAGGAGTCATTCGACGAAGTCAGTTCTGGATTTTGTCAACAGCAGTGATAACGCAATTTTTGTTGTCAACACCGTTCACCTGATATCTCAGTTAGCTGACAATTTGATCATTGCATGCGGTGGCCTTTTACCTCTTCTGGCTTCAGCTACGTCACCAAACGTAAGTTATTGGAATTTTGTAATATATGAAATAATTACCACTTATTGGAAAAGAAAGAATTTTCTAAATGATGAATGATAATTAGCTCGGCTGCTACAATATTTTGAAATGTATGTGATATTTATACAACTTTCAATATTCGTGTCAATTACTATTTCTTTTACAACCGGGACTTTTCCTCAAATTCAATCATATGCCATCAGAGCCGTTATGTATATTTCCGAGTTGGTTTCAAATTCTTTATGTACTGAAATGTCCCCAGAAATCAATTTGAGGACACATATTTAATAATTGTCTCTTTTATAACTTACAAAATGTGTATCATTCAATATTGGTATAGTGTTATCATGTATTTAGTGTCCAAACTTGGTCCAATTACTATTTATATACAAAATTACTTTAATTAATTACAAGATTACAAATTACTTTCAGTTATTACACAGAGTTCTATGTTCCTTATGAAATAATTGTGAGATATATACTTTGAATAATGGGAATGAGGTATTTCATAATGTTGTGGAAAATTAAACATCATTTTACATTTATTTACCTACATATTTAAACGTCCAAATTCATACATAAAGTTACAATATATGTGTTATTGAAATATGAAAGAAATAACAATATTTTTCAAAAGTCAATATCAACTTTAAGTTTATTTTCTATAATATATTACTTTTTTCCTTCAGCAAACTCCGTAAAATTTTCGGAGAAATAAATATTCACAAAATCATTATCTTTCATATGCAAGTGAAGAAAGAGAAGTGGTTATAAATGATCCCAATTCAAAACTCAATTAAATCAATTGAGAGCAACCAAGAATTCTCACTCACTCTGCTAAAGAAAAAAAAATCATATAATGAGTGAAGCTATGGAGGTCATGTATTTAAATAAAGCACAACCACCATAATTGATTTCTGGGATAGAAAGTTATTGGCTTACTACTGCTCCCTGTTGATACAAAAAAAATGAAAGAATCTTCCAAAGAAGGAATCAATTTCAAATACTTTTATGTGAACACTGAATTATAAAAAACACTTTTTTCTACTCAGTTTGTATTCCATTCATTCGTTATGGAATTCAATCAGATATCATTCACAGGATTCCTACACAATATACTAAATGGAAGATAATTTCACTTACATGGAATACACTGTTATTCTCACTGGTAGACATCAATGTTTTGCCGTAAGACACTTGCCTTAGAGCAAGTTAAACACCATAAATAACTTTCAAGTGAATTGTTGAAACTTCAAACTGATTAGAAACATTAAGATGACCCTCGATTTTCCACTTGATTTGTTAAAGTGTAGGTACTTGTACTTGAATTTGTTGACATAATTTTCCTCCTCCTCACAGAGTGAACTTGATGTTATCGAACCTACTCAAGGCATGCCTATCGAAGTGGCTGTGAGTTTTCTTCAGAGGCTGGTGAATATGGCAGACGTTCTCATTTTCGCGAGTTCGTTGAATTTCAGCGAATTAGAAGCAGAAAAGAACATGTCAAGTGGCGGGATCCTCAGACAGTGTCTAAGATTGGTAAGTTATGAATAACATTTCGAGATTCTCTGACTGATTCAGCCGTTACTTGATGAAGATCAATAGTAAATTTCATAAACTACATCTTAAGACTTGATCTCCACACACTCCAAAGTATGTGGAGATTAAATCGTAAAGTGTATTTTATGAAATTTCGAGATTCAATATTTTCATACAGTTGCATAAAATTTCACAAACTTTTTCATTGTAAGCTGGAAATAAACTACTAACATTTCGTAATCACCATAAAAATTTGAAATATAAACATTGATATTTCCCTCTCCTGTAGGCATTCTCGTTAGTTATCAAGTATTTTTTCCCTTTCTGAGTGTAGAAAAAATAACTGTTCCAAACATACATTGTCCTGAAGATGTTTGAACGCGAAGCTTCATTTTTATCAGTATAAAAAATTAATTTCCTCGTTTATTTTTGGATAGCCGATTTTTAAGTCATCGACCAGAAAATATATCATACATTATTTTGATGTCGCAACGGTGTCCATGAGATATCCATCGGAGGATATTCATTCAAAGTCCATGGTGGGATATTTCATGGCCATCCATTCCATGTTTAAGTATATTTAAGCTGAATTGGACATGACTTGGAAAACCATGGAATATCCAATGTTGTTCTGGTTCTTTGTAGCATGAAATTGTTTGCATGCTGATGTAAGTCATTAAGCCTAGGGTCATGTGTTGTTCGAAGTAATAATAATTATAATAATGGTCTTTATTGGGTGAAATAGAATATAACGTCCAAGAGGCGAAGTTCAAAACTGCAGTGTAGATCACTACAGTTTTGTTCTACCACTCAACCTCCAGTAAATTAAAAAAAAATGTAATGGGAAAGATAATGTCAGAAGGGATTCAAAGTATACTTCAGAAAATCATAGAGATTAACAGTCGAATTAAAAGCACTTTTGGAATGAAATAAATACAGCTTGTCAAATGTAAGAAGAGCTTTCTGAATTCCGTTATGGTATCGCCATCTAGATGTGCTTCATTAGATAGAAGAATATTAGAGCGAGAGAGAGAGAGAGAGAGAATTCTCAAGTCTTTTCCTAGATTTGACAAGCGGTACGTTATTGTTTTATGGCACTTACTACCCGTTGAAAAGAAAAGATTTACAAAAAAATGTGAGGGATCAAGTGCTTCAGAAGACATTTACAAATCTGAGAATTACTTATTATGACACTCTGTTACCATATAATTTACATTGTTTATAAATGTAAATAATGCCAGTTTGGTTTCCAAAAGCAAAAAAAATACTTTCGATGACATACTTTCATTTCTTTGTTTCATTTCATTTTCATTTCAATGTTTATTCTAACATAAATGACAAAGAAACAGTGGCTGCGGTCTTCTGTGATATAGCCAAAGCATTTGATTTTGTGAATCATAAAATTATTTTACGGAAACTCAGTAGATACAGGATAACTGGAATGTCTTGAGTGGTTTGAATCATACTTAGCAGATCGCACCCAGATGGTCAAAACCACTTCATACTCAAATAAAGGTAAAATTACTTACGGTGTCCCACAAGGTTCAGTACTGGGCCCACTTTTATTCCTAATTAACATTAATGACCTATCGTCTATTAACATACAAGGAAATTTTACTTTATTTGCAATTTTATGGCATGCTCCTGACAATCATACGTTATATGAAGTTATTGATAATTACATCACGAAAGTGAAAGACTGGTTTGACTCAAATCTTTTGAGCTTGAATTTATCAAAAACGAAAGTAGTGTCCTATCGTTGTCAGATTCCAGCCGTACATCTAAATAAAATTCAAATTGACAACGTACCAACTTCTAAATTTCTTGGATTTTTCATTGACAATAATTTAAATTTCATCAAACATATAGTTACTTTGAAATCCAAGCTCTCCTCTGGATGTTATGCAATACGAGTAACTGTATTTGAGCTAGGATTTGCACTAGCTAGAATGGTTTATCATTCTCTTTTTGAATCCCATTTTCGTTATGGTATTGGCTTTTGGGGTGTGTGTTCTACCACATGCCATCAGTATTACTGATAGAAAAACGTGCAATACGATGTATATACAAAGCCAAGCCTAGGGACTCTTGTCGGCCTCTTTTTGCCTCTAACAGAATCATAACTGTGGTCTCCTTATTTATATTTGAGGCAATCTGCCTTCTCTTTAAAAATGTGAACTTTTTCAACAAGTTGGACGAGCCACTGTATCAAAACAGGCAAAGATTTAGTTTCAAATTACCGCTGCCTTCTTCTATCCTAGTTGAAGATTCCATTACTTACAAGGGTTTCAAAATGTTCAATCACCTTCCTCAAGCTATAAAAACCATAAATTACCTTAAAGCTCTTAAGAAAGAGTCGAAAGACTTGCTTTCTGTGATACCTTATTATAGCTTAGCAGAATTCTATGATGATAATTTTAATTGAGTATGACTAACTGTAAAATCTACGGTATTTAATTGATTTAATTCAATTTAGTTTAAATTGATTTATTTAATTTTATTGACGGTATTCTTATATCCTGAACATTTGTATTAGGTTATTGTTATTTACATGACTCTTTTCAGTTCATGTTATCAACTTACTGTTAATGATTTTACATTTATGATACTTTTGTGGTATCATTTATAATATGTTGTGCGAAATATAAATTATTTCGCACAAGGCTTTGTCAATAAGAATTCATTCTTCAGACAATAAAGTATACCTATTTTGGATTGAATTGAATCACGTTTGCCAGCCAGTCTATTTTTCCTCAGTTTCGACGTTTACACGATGTTCAGCACATGACTCTAGACCATTTCTTCATACATACATGTATATAAACATGTATATATCATCTGTAACTGTATTTGTGCGTGTGTTAGGTTTGCACTTGTGCAGTTCGCAACTGTTTGGAGTGCAAAGAAAGAAGTCGGCCACACCACACTATTGCACCCAACTCACTGAATGCTAATCACAAGGCGGCTCACTTGCAGTCATTCATAAGAGGTGTTCAGAATTCTCCGAAGGTATGTATATTGCAAATATGTATTTCATGCTGAACAGATGATGGAAAATGTAGTGCAATTCAGAATGCGACAGTCATTATTGTAAAATTATTACACTCAAATTTTGAAGTAGGTTTCAGAACTATTATTAGTAAGTAGTAGGTATCTCAAGTTTCCTGACGGTAAAATAATGAATTGTAATTTCATTTGCATAGTTGGAATTCGTTTTTAAACTGTTGTTATTCAAATTTAAGAAATAGTTCATAGCTCAAAGTGGAGGTAATCAATCAAAATCAGAAGAAAAACAATGTCGTCTCCACAAAATATATACATATGTATTTGTAAGTCAGAAAATTGAAAACATTGGAGGTCAATGGCAGTTAGACATGTTTCGAGTGGAGTAAGCCACCAATCTTCAGTAAAACGAGAAACAGATTATGAACATTATGTAGATTAACATTAGGTTGAAACAATTGAAGAATAACGAAGTCATACGTGTTAATTTAACACAAAGCTTCAGCTTATGATTGAGTCCAAAATGGTTGGGTAGAGTATTTATGAAAATTAGTAACATCAAAATTTGTAAAAATTCTTAGGTTATAAATTGAACAGTCAGACAATGCATTATCTGCTTCTGCTTGCTATTCAATATCAGATGATGAGGTGTTAATGGGTGTTGAAACGATGTTTCAACACCCATTAACACCTCGTTCAAATCCGTCCGACGATTAAGTTGATATATTCAACCATAACCATGGGTGGTGAAGTATTGTGGCTTTTGTTATAAAATACATAAAATTATCGCACATTGGATAAATCTTTCGTGGAATAATAATACAATACTCGCGTAATGTCACATCATATCTGTGGATACAGTCTGATAAAGAAGGCATTTTTTACTTTCCAGTTTCAACAAAATGACTCGAAAAAAATGTGGCGTATCTTGAAACAAAATAAAATAATTTTAAATAAGAAGAAAAATATTCCAGATTATCTGAAAAGTGTTGATAAGGTCGATGATTTTTTGTTAATTCTATACCAATAATGAAACCTCCACCAAACTTACTTAAATATTACAAAACTAATTGTTCAGCTACCTCAAAATTCTGTTTTAAAGAAGTGAATGATCTTTTTGTTCTTCAAACAATGAATGATATTAAAACAAATGCAACTGGTTGTGATAATTTGAATATAATGGTTATAAAACTATGTTGTCCGCATATTGTTGAGTACATTACTCACATAATAAACTTTTGCCTAATTGAAAATGTTTTTCCTAAGATGTGGGGCAGCGCTGTTGTGAAAGTGTTACCAAAAAAAAATATTCCCACTGAGTTTAAACAGTTACGACCCATCATTGTACTTCCGGCTGATCTAAAATACCAGAGAAAGTCATAGAAGTACAATTCCTGGATCACATTTCAGAATTCAACATTTTACCATCGGTTCTGTCTGGGTTTCGGAAGGGATTCAGTTGCGCTACATCATTGCAGCATGTTGTAGATGACATTGTCAGAGCTTCAGATATAGGACATTGCACAGCTCTAGTACTTCTTGACTTCAGCAGAGCCTTCGACACTATAAACCACGATTTATTGATATCAATTTTACATTACGTTGGTCTGTCAACTTTAGCTATCACCTTGCTTGCCAATTATCTTAATGGATGAAGTCAAAGAGTTACGTTTGATGTAACTTTTCCATCTCCCCTATCTTTTCAACGCGGAGTGTCACAAGGCTCTATACTTGGGCCGATCCTGTAATCACTGAATCACTGTAAGGTGTACTTCTATGCGGATGACACCCAAATTTATTATAGTTTCTCCCCTCAAGATGTAAATTATTCTTGCATGATACTCAATAAAGACTTGGATAATTTTTATAGGGCTACAACAGAACACTGTTTACTCCTAAACTCTCAAAAATCAAATGTTCTATTATTTGGACCAAAGTTCAAACGATCTGATGTTTTAGAGTATCTAAACATATGAATTAATGGCGTGAATATCGAGTTTGTGGAAGAAGCGAAAAATCTTGGAGTCATCCTTGACCACACTCTCAGATTCGAAAAGAACTTGAATAACTTAATTCGACGTGCATATTCTTCTTTAAAATTGATATATGGAGTTAGGCAGTATCTTCCACTAAAATTGAAATTAGTATTATATGAAGCACTAGTTTTATCACATTTCAACTATGCTAATACTGTCTATGGACCACATTTGAGTGAGCAGTATAAACGTAAAATTCAAAAAATACAAAACTCGTGCTTGAGACTTATTTATGGAATAAAACGTTCTTAGAGAATCTCTCATAAGCTCAAAAATGCCTATTGGTTAAATATGAATAACAGAAGAATCTTGCATACCGCCAACCTATTCCATAAAATTATTGTTACCAGAAAGCCTGCCTATCTGTGTGGACAAATTTGTATATTTTTCCTTTGTTTTTGTATTATTTAAAGAAAATTCAATAGAGAGGTTTTTTTAGGGTAAAGTGGAAGAACAGTTCAGTTGTTGAATTTAATCAGGAACTGAACTGAACTTCCCCCTTTATTTTCAAAAATTTTCTGTTGTTGTATTTCCTCAATCTTGTTTTTTTTATATATATTTTCTGAAAATAATAAAGACGACAATTATTATTATTATAATCATATCACATATGCGAACAAAAAGTACATGATTGGAAGTCCTTGCATTTGGTATCAGACTCCTCTTCAGCTGTCACGTGAATATAGTAGACCAAGGTTTTGAAGACACTATCATCACATATTATGACGGAATCCTTGGTCTCTAATTTGATCTAAGTCCATTTGACCTGACGAAGGTGAGAGGCGGGTAATTGCATAAAACAAGATATTCGATGTTGTCAAAGAAAACCTTTACATAAGCTTATCCTCATTTAGTCGCTGGGATAAATTGGTAACTTCACAGTCCCCAGCCAAAATCATTCTAACTTACAGACACTACACTCGACATAATGAAGCCCATAGACTCCAAATTGTTGGAACTCTTGAAACGAGTAATATAAAATGCAAACTTCTTTGATGAAGACTCATTACTTTTTCAGTTTTCATATCGTGTTGTTGCGGTTTTCCTTGAATCTCTCCACTGCTTCAAAAGAATTTAATAAAATGACAAAGCATATGTGTAGCAGCAAATTTGTTATTCTATGACAGGACCGGCCGAAGTTTATTCTGGCACTCAGAGATGACTGAAGGTGAAAAATACTTCTATCGACGAACTTGACATCTTTTTAGTGTTCTCAAATGAAAATATTTAACAAATATGAACACCCACAATGAATTATATTTCTGAGAGCGTGAAATGGGAAAAATTTCATTGAAGAAATTACCGAGTAAGAGAAAACTAACTATAGTTAGTTCTCTTGTTCTACATTTTCTGTCACCTGTTCTGTGTAACATAGATTGCATCATCAAAGACTCAAAATTCATATTCATCAATTTTCACATTGTTCAAAAGATCTTCGCTTTCAAGCGGTATTCTAATGTCCCATAATGTTATCGCTTTGTAATTTTCTTACATCAAATTTCAACATTTCCAAAATACACAAAAAATAAAATCTACGTTTTTTTACATATCTGTAAAATTATATAGTTTTGAAAAAAATCTGAAAGTTGAAAAATGTTTCTCTGAATGTGATTTATAGGATAGCCCACATGCAAAATTTCTACAAAATCCATAATAATAATAGGTGAATAATAATACAAGGAATACTTTTAATTATGACTGTGTTAAATTCCAATTGAATTTGAAAAAAGTGTTTTTATAATACCTATAGCTTTGTCAAAACTAAGAAGTTTTATATAGGTTATGTTAGCTCTTTTCTACAGTAGTTGAGCAATTGCCAAAAATGAACAGAAATAAAAAAAAACATTTGAGAAATAATTCTTTTTTTTTTCATTGAAGAAGAAACTCTTCCCATAGCCAAATTTCGAATGAAACTATTCATAAAAATTCCCAGACACATTTTTATAGAGAAATTATTCTCAAAAAATGCAATTTCCTATGTGCTCTTATATTTTATCCTGTAGAAATGAAAAAATTATTTTTCATAATATTAGTTCTTTATATTTTCAACTATTTATAACCTCTAAGAAAATGAAAATGAATTTTAAATTCATTTACTTATTCCTACTCATCTCAAAAAATCTTGCAACCACTATAATAGAACAGTCTATTTGTTTCTTAGGAAAGCTTATTCAATTTACTAATATTTCTTCCGAGCATTGCTTTGCAAGCTTTCTATTATTTTGGCAAAGTAAGTGTATTTATTATTCATATCACTCCAAAGTAATATTGGCAACTTGAAGTACATAATCTGATTTGTTTTATAATTCGAATTATCTTGCATGTGCTTCAAAAGTTTTTATACGTGCGTTTGAATCTTTTCTTTCCTGGATGGTTTCACGTATTTTTCTAGCCTGCTTATTGTCCATTCTTTATGTGGTGCCATACATTTACTTGCACCATGTGCAATATTGTGATAAAATCATAGGCAACAAAAGTCATATCTATTTCATATTATAAACTTTCATTCAGACTCCTTTGATTCTCTGACACCTTTGGGCTAGTATTAATTTCTAGAAACAAAAATGGGCGCTCTTCTCCATCTTCTTTCCTGCAATATACGTAATTATTTTGACAGATTTGATTAACTCAACTCTAAATTTTGAAGTCATTCTAATTTTTTTTAATACTCAACAGAACATAGCTGACAATATGTCAAATAGCTCCAACCCAGTGAAAGATCCAGAAAAACTCCTCCAAGACATGGACGTCAACAGACTCAGGGCCGTTATATACAGAGATGTGGTGAGAACGTTTATACAGGCACTACATTTTGAGTTGCATACTAAAAAATTGTCTAACTCTCTTTATTACAGGAGGAGACAAAACAGGCCCAGTTCTTGTCTCTCGCCATTGTCTATTTTATTTCGGTGCTGATGGTATCTAAATATAGGGACATTTTGGAGCCCCCTGTATCGATGAGGGTGCCTAGTCCTGTACAAGTGGTCCGTAATAACGGCACGTCCTCACATAATTCTGGCAGTCCTCAAGGTGAGTATTTGTTTATATTTCGAGTTCTTGTGAAGATAAATTCGGAAAATGGCGTACAAGAGAAGTAGTCTGGTTGTTTCAGGAGAATTATTTTTATTATCATTTCTGAGTATATCAAAATTGATGTTCTAAAACACCTAAAAACCTAAAACTTCGTTGAGAAATGTGTGAGGTACACCTAGACTTCCTACGACCAGATATATTTCTTTCAGGTTTCCAAATGAACGACCCGTAAAGGGATATTACAAAGGGATTTTTTGAAAATATGATTTTTAATTGATAAACAGGCTTAATCATAGTTTCTGCATTTTGAATCCTGATGATTTGTATTTGCAAGCAAAAATCACATCCACGCTTTTCACCATGCATTTTTACATGATAAAATATTCACATTTTTGTGAGGCTAGAGAAAATATTTCTTGAAAATCATTTTATGTTACCTTCAAGAAGTGATTTTAATATTTACTACTACCCGTCTTTTCTCAACCTCCACCTCCAGGAAATGTTATCCTGTATATGTTCAATAACCTCTTGATTTTGTTTTTCAAGTGATCAAAAATTGAAATAACTTCAATAGCACTGCACTCAAAATCTTGTTCGTTTATGCTTCTGAATGTAAAAAAATATATTTCGGAAATTCCACTGAACAGATATAAAAACTTTTTTATCATTCGGTAAGATCAAGTATAAAGTGAATTTTCATTTTTCCAAAAAAATATTCATTTATTCATCTATTTCTATTTTGTTCCCTTCATAGTAGCCCCCCTCAGATATAATACACTTTGGTTTTAATCTCTTCATAAAGGCCGTCCTTTCATGGGTCTCTTCATGTCCAAAATTTCCGAAATAATTGCATGGCATGAGCCAATCGATATGCCGACATCTTCAGTAACTTCTCTAATAGTGATTCATCGAGTTTTTATTACAATTTTATTTCTTTTATCAACATTTTCATCAGTTGTTGATGTGCTGAGGCGTCCAGGGCGAGCGTCGTCATTCACATCTTCTGGACGTTTTGGGAAAAGTGCCACTTGTACAAATTTTCTAACTCGGAGTAGAATCACCGTATGCCACTGTCAATATTTCAAGTGATTTTTACACAAAATTCGATGCAAATTGTTTCATTCACTTTTTTCAATGGCAAAAAATTGGCGGACACGCAAAACAGTTCTACTTTTATGCCTTTCACCAACAAACTAAATATACTAAACAGCTAAAACTGTGAAAATATTTTCTAGACGATTGTACCAATATAAAAAAATAAGGAAATCGATAATCAAATGTATGTAGTCCGTGAAATTTGAATATTCACCTTATTTTTTGAACAGTTCACAATGTCTTGACAATTATTTGGATTAATATTTTTTAGTGAGAAAACATTCAGAGGAAAAATAATGCCTAGTCCGAGATCTATAATGCCTAGATCATTTATTTAAACTGAAGACTAATTTCTACAATACCAGAGCTCTTGAAAGCTCTTGAGTGAACAAATCATAATAAATTTTCTTGCATTAATAACTTCTCGTAGAGGTAGATTTTGATTCTTCTTGAAATTAGTTCATTGAAGGTAATTACTTTCAGAACTGTCGAGTTTGAACTTTTCTTTGAAACCATACCAAAAAAGAGATGTATGGTCGTTCTGTATTGAATACACTTTGCTATTAACTACTTGTAAAAGGGCTATTCATTTTACAAGTAGACTGTCAAAATTGTTCTATAATGATACGTGTACAATAACACTTCGTGAGATTTTCACATAACGGTTTACAAAACCGCGATACGTGTTTAACTATAGCTTCACATAGCTTCATCAGTCGTGTTTAATATCAAACTGTTTTGTTTGTTACTAAACACGTTATGTATGCATATAATGAAATACGGATTTCTGTTCAAATATTTATTTATTTGCAAGAAATTACAATGGTTTATACAAGGAATTATTTATACAAGAAATATTCATATAAAAATATATAATTTCAAAGAGAGCTATTTCAGCATCGGTCTAAATTATAACAAAAAAAAAACAAAAGGAATATGACTGAAGTAGTTCTTTAATGTTATTTTAAATTTTTCTGTGTTGGAAAATTGTTTGTCATTTGATAAAATGCCTATTTTCACTAACAGATTATTGAGCCATATTGTTTGATGATCATGTTGATTTCTATATTCTATAAATTTCATAGTGCAGTAATGAAATGTTCAATATTTTGTCATGGATTTAATATCGCCAATTCCATCGAAAATCTCAATAACCATGTACTAACGAAATGTTTCCTCTTTCTCGCATGCAGAAGGGAGTGCTAGACCTCTTTTTCCCCAATGGTCCCATCATGTTTATCCCCAATTCCTCCCCGGTTCCCATCCTAATGCTGTGGCGCACAATAATTACGTTCGTCACAGGCATTCCTTTCTGAAACACAACCATAACCTTAACAACAACCACCATTCTCACCACCACAATCACAAAATTGACCACCGTTACCACCGCAACTCTATTGTGAGTCGTTCAGGTAATTTTTCGAAAAAGTGCTGACTCTTCTTTTTTAATTTAATTTTATCAGCACGCTCATATTCACCGTATTCTGTCGTTTTGATGTTGTCATGTGTCATGCTTGGTTTTTTCCATAAAGGGCAATCGGTTGGTGATTTGGATATTGGGAATAAGAATCATTGTTTCATGTTTGGTTTACAAAAATTTTAAAATATAATATCGACAGAGGACTCATACAGTTAATTTTAATGTTTCTCGTTTTTCGGTAGTGTTAACCACCTTCCGCTTGAGGAAGTACTTCTTTCAATTGTCAATTCTTTGTCAATTATTGGGTGAAGTCTGCCAATTTTTTGATTTGTAATATTTGATTTTCGTATCTTTTTCCGTGTCGTGAGGGTAATGGATCTTATCTTTATTTTATTTCATTTCATTTCATTTCATTTCATTTTATTTCATTTCATTTCATTTCATTTCATTTCATTTCATTTCATTTCATTTCATTTCATTTCATTTCATTTCATTTCATTTCATTTCATTTCATTTCATTTAAGATATTAATTGAAAAAGAACTAACCTTAGAGACTAAGCTAGAGAAAAGTTGGGCGAAAAATCAATTGTTATATAAAATGTGCTTCAATCTTTTTTTGAAAGTTAAAATTTTAGTGGGAAAGATGTCCAAATTTAAACAGCCACCAAAATTGGAATTATAGTAGCGAAGGCATCTCTGTAAAGTATATACCATTGTGATTTACTAATTTGTGGATCCGAAATAAGAGGTGATTTTTTAAGAGGTATAGGATTTTATTTCCAAAACAACACAAAAAATTTGAAAAAAGTGATGAAATCTTTATTGGAATCCATAGAACGATCAATATAATTTAATGTTTGAAGATACTTTCATGCAAATGTTGTCTGCGGCTCCGCTTTAGATGGCCCATGCGCAAGGTCCAATTTTGGCACACTCTCTCTAACTTATCGACCGGTAATTCACGTATAAATGCTTCAATATTGGCTTCCAGAGCGTGAGTCGTTGCTGGTTTGTTCCTTTAGACATGATCCTTAACATGACCCCACAAGAAATAATCCAAAGGCGTTAAATCACACGATTTAGGCGGCCAATTGACGGGCGCCAAACGTGAGATAAACGGTTCACCGAAAGCGGCTCTTAATTGGGCCATTGTTTCGCGTGCCGTGTGGCATGTGACACCGTCTTGTTGAAACCACATGTCAGGCATGTCCAATTCTTCCATTTTGGGCAACAAAAAGTAGTCAATCATCACACGGTAGCGCTCGCCATTAACAGTAACGTTCCGGCCATTGTCGTCTTTGAAGAAGTACGGCCCGATGATGCCACCGACTCATAATCCACACCAAACAGTGACTTTTTCGTGATGCATTGGTAGCTCTTGCAATGCTTGTGGCTGGTCTTTACTCAATTTTACTTATTAACGTATCCATTCAACAAGAAATGAGCCTCGTCGCTGAACACAATTTTTCGATAAAAACTTTGCCAGCACCCATTCACCAAATGTTAGATGTTGTGGGAGGTCGTGTGGCTTCAATTCTTGCACCAGCTCTATCTTATAAGGTTTTACACCCAAATCTTTTCGAAAAATGATCCACGTAGTAGAGTAACAGACTCCTAATTGCTGCGAACGCCGGCGAATCGACATTTCACGGTCATCACGAACACTGGCGGATACAATCGCAATATTTTCTTCGGTCCTCACTCTAAATATGCGTGTTGGTGGTTCAATGTCCAATAATGTACACTGGGTTGATGATCCAAAAGGACATTCTCGGAAAATGTCCCAATTACCCAAATGAATGTGGGTGAAATGCATTTGAAATTACTGTAGTTATTTTTTAAAATTTTCATACTCAACTGATTGGCCTTTATGTGTGCTAGACTTCATCTTTCATTGGCATTTTTTTTAATATAATCATCTAGATTATATCATCATCTAGAGATGATCATAACTCTTGGTTCAGAGGTGTAAAAATTGGGTATGATGAACAAGTGTATTTTTGTACTTATATTTTCAATGGAAAGTTTTGTTTTATAATTTGAATGTTTCTCATGTTGATTAGATTTAGAAAAATCAGTCTGTTTTTTTTTTTTATTTAGCGACAAGATCATTTCAAGGGCACGAAGACAACGAGTATGATATAATAACAGCTTATGTAGAAGACAGCAATTCTTTACATCAAGAGAATGAACTGCATTCTGGACCAGCATCCATCAAGGTAAGAATTCTGACTATAAGTTACTATCGTTCTCTTCAAATTTGGATCAAAGTTGCTGTCTTCAAATAATAATTAACTATATAATTATTTTTTATTGACTTTTTTTTGGGTATTTTCACCTTTCACAAATTGAAATATATGAAAATTGAAATGGAGAACTTTAATACAGGTGTCGAAAGAGCGAACTTTATCAATAACTATCAACAATTTTACCTATCAAAAAAATAGCTAAAAAATAATACAATACTACAAAACTTATCTTGACGTTTTGGACTCCAAAATCTGCCTTCGTCTTCAGAAATGAACAAAATTCAAATATATATGCAGTTATTCCTTTGCTGATTGATAATTTTTTATATCCATTCCATTTTTCATTCAACTCAATGTTCACCGTCTGATTTCAAAATATTTTCCGTTTAATTGTCTTTTTTTGATGTAATCTTGATGTGTCACCAATATTACTTTTATCACAAGAACAAAGTATCTCATAAATGCAATTTTTGTTTTTTCTTCTGTGTTGTTGGGTTTTGTATGTGCGAGTAAAGATCTCAGTGTATTATTTGTTTTGTAAGAAGTTCTAACATCATATCTATATCCAATCCATCTTATCTTTTCAGAAAGTCCTGGAATGTAAGATATAACGTTAGTTGTAAAAGGTGTCGGTAAATGTTGGGTCGGTAATTTTTGAGTTGGATGTAGTTGAATTTGTGATGCTGTTTTTAGGGTCAGTTGGTTTTTAATTGACTCTTTTCTATTGCATTTATCGTTGACTTTATGAACGAATCTGGAAAAGCGATATATTTCAGAATATATTAATGATATTTCTTTATTGAAGTTTTCAGTTGAATTGCATATCAATTTTGCTCTATTATGAAGACAATTTATCATCCCTTTTTCAGATTGTGGAAGGTGAAAACACTCAAAAAATTTCGATAAAAAACTGATTTTACTCCACAAAAAATTACTTCCGTTCAATATACAATAATATCTTGGCTCTTTAAGTTTTTATTACTAGGACTACCTCAAACTCAATATGACAGTTGAATGAAGGACCGAACAATTTTAGAGTGATGAGAGATTAACCATGATGATAAATTAAATACATGACCTATTGATTTTTGGAACAATTATCATATATTGATTTTATGAAGTGAGAACACCTTTCGAATTTATGAACATTTAGTTAGAGGGATATGATTTTCATTCATGGTTAATTGCTCTCTGAAATGATACTAATGTGGTGTGTGACATACAGTTTGCATTGTAGATAGCATTTTACAATATTTCACTAGAGTTGGTCACTTCATTTCCATTTCTTCTTTAATGGGAAGATCGATTTGCATGAGTTATTAGAACTCGTTTAGTAATTCCATCTCAGTTAAAAATAACCAACTCTAGTATATGGATTTTAAATGGGAGTTGAGTACAGAAAATTGAAACTGGAGCTGGGTCAAGGTTTTTTAGTATCGATTTCATAATTAATTGAATACATTTATTCATCAAAATGCATGTATTGCCATGATTTTGAAAATTTTCCTTTCAAGCACACGCTTTCATGGATAATAATTCACGATGAACTTTCAATCAATTTTTTGAAATTATTATACACTCAAGTCATTTGCTTAGCAAAATTTCGATTTTTGTTTTCAATTGAATGAACTTGGTGCACTCAGGATATAACCAATGGAATTATTCATCGAAAAGAATAATGTAATATCAACTCAAGATTATGAATTCATCCGAGTAATGTAAAACCCATCGATGACATTGCTTGTTATCGAGCACCAATTCTGTTCTTTCATTTCACTCCATCTAACGAATTTCAACTTTTTCATCGTTCTTCTACCTTGAGGGAAATAATCATTCATATTTCCTATTTTTCATTCAATTGTTTCTATTTATTCATACTTATGTTTCCCATTCATATCATACATTTTAAGTATTACGTATTGATATACAATTTTCAAATATATTCCGGAAAATCCTAGTTTTTTTCATGATCTTGAGCTCTCTTAGCGATTCGGTTTTTATCTACTCAATCGTCGCAAAAAGCCGTCCTTTATGGGTCTCATCAATCTTGGGAACAGAAAAAAGTCACAGGGGGGCAAATCTGGTGAATACGATGGTTGAGGCATGATAAAGGTTTTGTTTTTGGACCGAATAAAAGAAACCGTTGTTTTCAATGGAATCGATCCTAAATGACTTTAACTTAGTTCCCCTTTTATTGTATTCTCTTCCAAACAATCGTATTTTAAATCTAGTTTTCAGCACTTTTTGAGATTTGGGTCGCACATTTTTTGGTTTTTGTAAATTGTACGTATGTAAAATTGTGAAATATTGTTAGTTTAGTTAGTTAAATTGGATTTTGAATTTTTTTATACGAATGTCATTTTTATTTAACTCATGCTCCTCCAAATTTGAAATAATTCAATTAGACAGAAGGTCGTAATGTATTGATATGTTATCAATGGTGTCGATCAATTCATTAAAAAAAATCCAAAATTGAGTCAGACAAATTATCCTTTACCAAAATTACCAAAAAATCAACATACTTTTTACCTCAATCAAAATGTTTGAGATGAGTATTAATAAAACGTTTAGCTAATTTTTGATAATTAAAATAAAAGACATGGTACTGATAAATAAATAAGAAAAATCTCTCTATACTGTTATGTTATTGTGGTAATATTATAATTTATTGTTACAAGTATGTAGTCAATTATTTTATTTCAATGAGGAGGAAACTGTATGAACTAACTGGGTAATTCTGGCTAATATAATCAATCGCTCTATCAACCAGCCAACTAATTAACAATTAATTGATGAAAAAATTCTTTCTTCGAATTTCAAATGTCTTCTCCCTTAGATTCTTAGAGAGGCTACGAATATATTTTGGAAAGAAAACGATAGAAGTAATGATAATTATTGAGGAACAAATAATAAATTTTAACATATTTCGAATTCAAGTTAATTTGACTGGACTAAAACACAGGTACGTTTCTTGGTATTGATAAATTCATGTTATATACAAGGTGTATTGTAATCCACTTTTACGTTTAATGTTATTACTGTTTGGGCATCTTCTTAGAGTATTTTTTCATGGCTCGTAGGTATAGGAGGAATAACTCTCAATTTTTTTGGCAAAAATGATAAAACTCAGTTGGTTGATACGATGATAATATTCAAATTACGAAAAACTAGTGCTTATCAATGATTTTGACTATAAATATTGACCAGCAATGCCACTGAAATAACTATTTCAATAGTATTATAACAGAAGACAGTTGTGACTGCAGTCACATAATATATCAGGTTACATCAGATTCGGCAAAAAAATGTCTACAATATAACTATTTTGAAATAATCAGACATATTAGATTCATCATAAAAATAAAAAACACTAAAATTATAGAACTGTGAAACGCAATTTTCACAGTGAAATTAATATTATAAGGAATTTTAAATCAAGAATAATTGCCATCTCCAATCTTTAGTTCCAAGGAAAGTATTCAACTAATCGAGAATTACCTAGTAAAAAATGTTCATTTTCTCAAAATACAATAGTCAACACCAAATATCACAAAATACCATATGTAGAAAATTTGTCTGATAAACTTGGACTTAGTAACCTTGAAGTGACCTTTTGATATGAAAACACAGTTGGAAAGTATTTTATCTCAAAACAAAAAAGTAAAAACACCGCACAGTTTACAAATTGAACTGTGAAAGCTGTCCAAAATGCTATGTTGGTTCAACCGGACGATATCTCAAAACGCGAGTTTCAGAACACACAATAGATTCTAAGAAACTGAATATCAAAAACCCCACAACCCTTGTTGAACATGAAAAAGAACAAGGACACATTTTTGATTTTGAATATCCGACTATTCTAGATGTTCAACCATATTTATCCAAGATACCTTTAAGCGAATTTATACATATCTTCCAACATGATAGTGTTAATACTAAAAGGGATGTCGATAGCCTCAATACCGCATGTTTCAATTTATTCAGTAAAATACCTGAATAACTCCCCTTTTTTATTTCAATTTTTTCTGTCATTGATAAAGACAGACACCATCTTATTAGTACTATAGATAAAGCTATCAGTTTGTTTCATGTCTTTTTGTAGTGTTGTAGTCCCGAAAATTTTATAATTTTAGTATTTTTGGTTATGTATATTATATGTCTGATTATTTTGAAATGGTTTCAAATATTTTCAACAGATAGATAAAAAATACCTTCAGGTTATGGTGCAGGTATTTTCAGTCACAGAAATATCAACCTGCCTAGGAACCTATGCGACTGTATTTCAAGCGGAAATTTATGCTATTGAATTGTGTGCGGAGAGATTGGAAGAATCCAACCTCTTACACAAGTCAATAAAAACATTCTCGGGCAATCAAGCGGCGTTGTAATCTCTTGGCTCCTACCGAGCAACGTCTAAATTGGTAGCAAATTGCCAAAAACGACTCCCTTCGATAGGAAGATTTAACAGATTGTCTCTGATCTGGATTCCTGGCCATACTGGCCTGGAAGGCAATGAGGCTGCTGACTCCATTGCAACGGAGGTGATTCAAACAGTTTCATCGGACCAGAACCTGTCATTGGCATCGCTTTAGGCTTTGCCAAACAAACATTGCACACCTGGATAGCAAAAAGATTCATGGACTTCTGGCAGAACCTTCCAGTATTGGCTGAGTCCAAGGCGTTTATTCGCCCTTCGAAGCTTGATACCAAACAGTTGTTGGACTACAGTAGGGATGAACTACGATGTCTAACATGCCTTCTCACAGGTCACTGTCATTTGAATCATCATATGCAGAGACTCGGAGTGTCGAAAGACAGTGTTTGTCGTCTCTGTTTGGAAAATGATGAAACAACAGAGCATATACTTTGTGACTGCCCCGCTGGGGACCGAATCAGGTTTTCAGAGTTTGGAAGAGTCATACTCTTACCATCTGACCTGAAATATCACTCACCGTGCAAACTAATCGGCTTCGTTAAGACGCTAGATTTATTTGGTCGAGTGTGAATACCTAGGTGTGATACCTTGCGGGTTGAAATGACAACTTATCGTAATTAACTGAAGTGAAATTTTAATTTTTTTTTTATGATATTCAGTGTTTCTTTGCAAACTCTTGAAAGAATATAAAATGCTGATTACTGAGGAACGGTTGATCCGATTCACAAATATAGGAAAATGTCAGGTAGAGAATTGAAAGACCTATGTAACAAGACGCCTTTTTCCATTATAAAGTACTGAAAATGGTACGTACCCTTTTTATCCTGGACCTTGATATCTTGTCCCGTTCAAAAGGTACGCGCATTTATGCCATTAAATAAGTGTCAGTACAATAGAAATGAATCAATATGAGAACCATATTTTAATGCTTGGCTGTTATTATCAATTTTTAAAAATTATTACATACGATGAAGTTTAAAAATTTTTAAATATTCTTTATTGAATTGCAACAACAAATGTTAAAATATATTTCACTGTAACAAAAATAAATAATTTCCAATTCTTACAATTTGAAAAGATAACTTAACTTAACCTATTCTAACCTAACATAAAAATAAAAATGACAGAAGAAAATAACAATAAATATAGAAAAATTCCAAACAGCTGAAACTATAGTCATCTGCTACACCCTTAAGGAATTTTAGGTTAGGTGTTTTTTTTTGTCTTCTATAACGTTCTTGTCACTATTTGACATTACCATTATTTTAAACTTTTTAATTATAACCATGACCATCAATTTTACTGTTGTAGTATTTCCCTAATTTCATGTGTATACATATATTTGTCATCTTTTTATCTCAATTCTTTTAAAATATTTACATAAATACTTGAGTTTGAACATATGTATATGAAAAGCACAGATTCTTATGACATTTTCCTTGTTATTGTACTGATAGAATTATCCACTGTTATGTACTTTTTAACAAGCGAAATAAATGAATTATTATTATTATTATTATTGGATATTGTCGTGACTGTGAATAATATAGTGCGACGGTATTAAGGTACTAAGGGTTGGAACTTCATTACTGGAATGCTAGATGACGTTAAAGTAGTTAGATTTTGAGATTTTTTTAAAAAACAATTTTTTTATCTTACATAAACATGTTTTTCAATAATGTCACTTCTAATACCTCTAAGAACATGTGTACACATTTTCATGATGATCGGTTGAGTAGTTTTCGCGTGAAATCGTAACAAACAAACTTACATTCGCATTTATAATATTACAGTAGGGATAGGGATTATATAACGAGGAATCAATTCCTGAAATCAAGTCATCAATTATGATACACCCCGTATATTAAAAATTATGAAAGTTCTTTCTACCAAGGAGTTTGAAAATTCTTTCCACCAATAAATCGTCTCTAAGAATCAGGGAAGCTTCACAAGGCCTAACATCTCCTTGACTTGACTAACGACAAGCTTAGGCGTTTCCACTAACTTTACATCTCATTTGCCTTGCGGCCTGCCTCTCATTAGGTAAACGCCAGGCAGCGTCCTTCTCTGGCTCATGGGTTCTCTGTTAATTACTCTTTGGATGGAATTAGGCATGCGAGAGGTTGTGACAGTGCTCGTGTTAAGCAGGTAATGCATTTGCTAGTTTAATTTTATTCATTTATTGCTGAAGTGGTATATGTCACTTGCAATTTGCCGGAAGGAAACATACAGAGTGGCCAAATTGGACACTTTTGAAGAGAAACTCCTGTTTTCCAACTAGATAGATGAAAACTGATGGCTGGGTCAAATTTTATGAAAAACCTAATAGTGAAATTCGCATATAGATATCTATTATCGTTTCTGAGTTACAGTATGTTTTTCGAAAATGTGCATTTGCGAAAAGTTGCTGCAACTTTTTTCCTGTCAAAAAATTTCTTGTTTCTATGCAAACATTTTCAAATCTCTTTTCACGTAGAATTAATTCAATGGTGTAAAATACATTTTTCAAATGAGATATTTGAATAGTATTGACGGAAAACTTTTTTCATGAAGCACCCTGTATATTCCTACAAATTTCAATAGAACACAAAATTACCTTTCCAAACATGTAGCATACTTGATGTTTTGCTAGTCATTTTCGAAATACCGAGTTTTTAGGTTTTTTCATGTAGACTTTGAAACGCACATTTTGGATCAAGTTGGCTTTGAACGATGCGTCGATAAACAAGACAAATCTTTACTGGTAGCTGTCAAATTTTGATTCGAACTGTAAAAAACGCTCTTCAATTAGTGGTTTTTGTTCAATTTTCAAACACATTCGCAATGAAGGATGAGAACTATGGGGAAAATGCAGAAACAGCAAGCAATTTATATCACGAGATGTATCCAGAGAGAAGACAACCTTTTAGAGACATTTTCGCAATATTGCGATACAACCTAATTGATGGTGGTCAAATTGAAAAGAAAAGGCCAAAATTATATGAATCAAATGGGGAGAAGGAGCTGTTGAAAATAATCCCAAAACGTCAACGCGAAATTTGAAAATATCAACAGGCCTACCAAGAATTAACGTTAGGTGGATTTTGAAAAATAAAAGTGGTAAAAACATAGAAAGTTTCAATTCTCTTTTCTGCATAATGGTTTCCTACCACATAGCAACCGGCATTTTCAACAGCTACAACCCTTATACTTGGGCACAACCTCATTCTATTGTGGATCAGAGAAGTGAAAGAAGATTTAGATTTAGTGTGTAGGCAGGTGTTTTCAGGGGTACAATTATCAGCTGGTTCATTTATAATGGCACCTCACAGAGGTATTTAGAAATTTTAAGGCAAAATATTGAACCGCCTGTTGATGAATTGCCACTAATGGATCTCAGAAAAATATACTTTCAACAAGACGGGGCTTCACCTCAGAACACTGCAATTGTAACCAATTTTTTGGCTGCAAATTTTGGTAATACTTGGATAGCCAACCAAGGACCCAACCGTTTGCCGGCCAGGTCACCAGACCTAAGGCATATGGACTTTTACCTCTGGAAAAGGTTAAAAGATGTCATTTATACATTTTCGACCAATTCTAGATACGAGTTGGAAGCAGCAGTAATGCAAAGTTTTGCTTCTCTGACTCCTATTGAACTCATTAATTCGGCAGAAAACGTTCAGAAAAGGTGTTACCTATGTGTAGGAGAAGCTAGTAGACATTTCAGAGACCCTCTTTGAAGAAATATATTTCATTGTTTGTTCTTTATAATAATTATTATTATTCTTGAAGTCTACTTTATTAGTAGTAGATATAGTATATATTGTTATCAGTTTTACTGAAACTATACGTTTTAATTAATGCTATTTTATGTTTTCTCAACATTTGATACCTACTACTGAACAATTTCTTTCTGTTTCATCGTCGCGTCGTCCAAAGCCTTCTCTATCAAAGTGTACGTTTCAATGTCTACATGAGAAAACCTGAACGATGTGTATTTTAAAGATAACTCTAGCAAAACATCAAGCTTGCTACATTTTTGGAAAGTTAATTTTAATCTCTATTGAAACATGCAGGGTTTCTCATTTGAAAAAATAATTTTTTTTACACCTTTGCATCCTACGCAAAAAAGTGGTTAAGAAATGTTTTCATAGAAACAAGAAAAAAATTTTGTCTTTCATCATCTTTCAATACATAATACTCATACATGCATTTATATAATTTTTCATATGGTCACTTTTTTACATATTTTGAATATAATGATTGATTAAACTAATTTACCTAAATAATTTTTGAACTTTCAGCTTCTGTTGAATATTTTTCATCTGTAATTATCATCCTATACTATTTCGTCTAGACGTGTGAGTTTCTTGAAATCATCAGTGTTACCAGTAACAAGCCTTCAGTAATTATCCTCATATCGTTTATATTCGGGAGTTACACCATTCATTTCAATATTGCAAGTGACCTATAGTTCCTTCACATGAATGACTAGTTTCATAGATAGATCTTACATTGATGTAATTAAGTTATATTGACTAATATGCATGTTCTAGATTAATTGATAGAATTGATTCTACACTATTATCTTCGAAGCATGCTTAGCCAGCTAAAAAATCTCTAGTTCCATTTAGAAATTGAGAGTTGTGATATGTGAATGAATAGAAAGGACCTCATTATGCCACATATAATGCCTTTTTTTGAAAAGAACGTCCTGTATAATCAATTATTCCTACACATATGCATCAGGTAATGAAAAAAAGTTCACAAATTGTATAAAAACATATATCGTTTCATTTTGATTTTGATATGAATTCATGAGTTTGTACAAAACAGTTCCTTGAAAATCTCAAAACCGTTGAGAACTTTTCAATGGCCTAGATTCGACATGACACCAAGTCCGCACCCCCATATAAGACGTTTTTTCAATGAGAAATAGGTATAACTGAAATTTGACTTTGCAGTTAGTGTTTCTTTATAAAATGTCCGATTGAACAATATTTGCATATTCACTTCTGCCATCTATACACGTTGTACTCAAGTCACTATTGAAAACTATGCTTAGGGCAACAGTGATCTACAGCTGGATGTTGACAACTCTACCTAAGAGATGGCGCAGTAAATTGCTACTCTGAGATGGATTCAGGATCAACTCTGAAACATGAAAAACAATTACAATTAGAGAGCTGGGCCCACCAGCTCTTCTGATTTGTTGGACGGCATCTGTTAGTTTTAGTGTCTTGAGTAACGGTAACCATTTGGATTGAAAGTAAACTTATTTTCTCCAAACTATCCTCGTGTATAGATGGCGCTCGAATGAATTTTATAGTCTGAACGAGTTCACGTTTTTTACAAAGATGGCACGAAAAGAGTCGATGAAATGCTTCTGTGGAGTTCGAGATGAAGAGAGACAGAACAAATGTAATTGACTTTGCTCGTCAGTTAACAGGTGGCGCATGAATATATTCATATGAATTATTGAATTTTGAAATATTTGAATCTGCTGAAGTGCAGAATTGAAAAGTTCACCACTAACAGTTACGGCATAATAAAAACCACTGAAGAGTCCAATTAGTCGGTAACTGATAATATTCATAAATTGTGCTCACAAATTGAATAGTAAATGAAAAAAAAAGAAATGTCTAGGTATACTTAGTTTTTTAGATGGTTGGAGTTTTGGAAAATATTCTTTTTTTAAAACCCAAAAAATTCATATGTGAACAATGGAGGCCGTTGATTTTTTTTGTTTATAAATTGGAGTAAGATGGTTTTCGAAACGTCAGCCATCTAAACTAAGAATAAAAATTTCATATTTTCAAGTGATTGTTCAATTTGTTAACAAAATTTATGAATGGCATAAGTTATATACTGACTAATATTGGACTCAGTGGTTTGTATTATGCAGTAATTGAACTTTTCGTTTTTAATTTTGATTACGATCTATTACATAGTTGAGAGATTAAGGTGATTTCCAATGTTAGTTTTCAAAATAAATAATTTTCAACGTTTTGGCAACTTTTTTAAAATTTGTAAAAACGTTTATATACAAGGGAGACCTGGTAAGTCAAGACCATTTTTAGAAGGTATTATTGTTCACAGTGAATATTTTAGAGTATGTATTCTAAAAAAATATTTGAAAAAAAAATTGAACTGAAACCCCCTATCCCCCAAAAAACAGCAAACAACGGAAAAAATCAATAAAATAATGTTTACTATTGATGCTAATGGGACAATATTATTTCACCATATATGGTTTATAACGCATTAAAAAAATCACAAAAAAAAGGAAAATTCAGCAGTAATAACGTTGACATGGATGAGAGATTTTGTGAAAAGTGGGGAAAATCATGAAATTTTGGGAAAAATTAGTCCTCTTTTTCTTCAATTTTCTTCAATTCGATGACGTATAATATTTTTTTACATAAAAAGAATGTCGTTTAAGCGCTATGACAAAAAATCACTATCCATTGTAATATTTGAAGAATTTCCACATCATGAATTCGACTCGTGAACGCTTTTCACTACAGAGTAGCTTCTTCAGTTGACCTGGTACATTATCTATACTATTCCGCAATTAATTTTATACAGCAGTAGGTATCAACTGAAGTTAATCAGTTAATAATGAATGATTGATTTTCGGTCAATATCTGCTCTTCTGGCTACATGTTTCTTCAACAAGAAAGTGTTTTACTTACAGTTCTGAAAAGAATGATTCCCTTCAGTTTGATTATTTTTCATAAATTGAAGCTTAGTTATAATATTCTCCTCAGTTGAGTGTTCCTTTTACATATTTTCTGGCTATAAGTCAAAAATGTTCAAATGTCGAATATCGAACACGCTAAATGTTTTTCTTAGGTGTCTACTTCTCCAATGAATATTCATATTTTCCTCCATGCTCATGATTCCATTTTGAAAGTATCACAGTATATAAATTCTTGTGCAAATTAATCGAATAATATTGCTTTCACAGAGCACAGATTCCATAGAAGAGCTGAACTCTGTACATTCCGCCGAAACAAACAACCTAGGATCGAACAGCGAATTGCCGCTAGACGATAACGACAAAGTGAACGCCGATGAAAACTGGACGGACATCAATCTAAATGAAGATGGCGACACCAAAGAAGAAGAAAGAAATATCCAGAATATGTCACATTCCCACTCAGCATTGGACATGGAAGGCAATCTAGCTTCAGAAAGGGGAGAGAAGCACCATCCAGAAATTTCAGTGGTGAGAGTTCCAGACGGAGTTATCCAAGCCCCAGCTCAAATGAGGCCTGACGACTTACCAGTGAACAACTTGGTGGACCACATATCTATACCAACGCCGTCTAGGGAAGCTTCTCTGACGCAGAAGTTGGAAATGGCTCTGGGGTCTGTTTGTCCCTTGCTCAGAGAGATTATGGTGGACTTTGCACCGTTCCTATCTAAAACCCTTGTGGGTTCCCACGGCCAAGAATTGTTGATGGAGGGAAAAGGTCTTACCACGTTCAAAAATAGCAACTCCGTAGTGGAACTGGTGATGTTACTTTGTTCTCAGGAATGGCAGAATTCTCTTCAGAAACATGCGGGTCTAGCATTCATCGAACTCATAAATGAGGGGAGGCTGTTGTCTCATGCGATGAAGGATCACATCGTACGCGTTGCGAATGAGGCGGAGTTCATTTTGAACAGGATGAGAGCCGATGATGTTCTGAAACATGCCGATTTTGAGGTAAGTTTATTTTCAGAACTTGAACTAGACAGAAGTCAAATTCATTTATGAAGTACATTCTGCTTTTCTGTTGACTGTAAACATTTTTTGGTTTGTTTCATGTATTTTTATACCATTTTCATTATAGCTACAGTACATACAATAAGAAGGTGCACTACGAACTTTGTAGTTGTTTTCAACTTTTGAAGGTGTAGCAAATCGAATATTCTATTTGTTTCCTACATAGTAGTGATGTTTTTTGTTAATAATCGCATCAGTAGAATAATCGGAACTACTTAGACCGGTGAACACGAATAATATTGACAGTATCAACAATTTGGGCAAATAATCTTTGATTTCGTCTTCCACTACTTTGTACTAAAGATTCCGTCGGTTGATATGAAAGAATCCCATTCTTTAGAATGGGATTCCATATTCAGATATAATTTTTTAACCCCATATTTTGAAAATGAATGAAATGGGACTCACAAAACATTAGTTCATCCACGTTGATGAAGTTAAAGTGATAAACATATAACGAAGGCACGAAAACAAACAAAAATAGGGCTCTAACAACATGAAACTTGTGCGAACACAGATATACTAATAATGAATGAGCTATGGATATGAAATGGATATGAAATCAAACTTCATTCATAAAATCAATTGCAAGAATTGTTTGGAATGTTATATAGGACAAACGGGACAATACCTGAAGAACGGGTTGCCTGAGCATAAAAAAGATGCAAAAAAATTAATATTGTCATTCCAACAGCCCTCGTTGAACACAAAAGAGAAAATAAGTACAGTTTTGTTTTTGTAAATACCACTTTTTCAAATGTTCAATATCATTAGATAACTTGCTCTTCAATGAGATTATCCACATTTTTGAGCAAGCAAGTGTCAACACCAGAAGTGACATGGATATATTGAATAGTGCTTATTTCTATTTGTTGAATCGGATTCCTCAACGTTTTGTTCCAAAGTAGTTTTCATCATCTTTTTTAATCTACAGTTCCAATCAATGTGAAATTGCAACGATACGTCGTCAAAAACGAATTATAACATTTTCAATCTCTTTCCCAACAACAAAATTTGATACAAAAATTGGTATTGTGATGGCTGACATACTATAGTTGAACGAGGATGAACTCTAAAGATAAGCGTTAGATTTAACTAAACTTACGCGTATATTCATGAAATCCAGTCTCTTATACTCTACGTGTACATGCAAATATGTGTAGCTATTTCGTTATATGTGAATCCTATGAATATGCGGAAAACGTACATGTTGCATATAAGGATAATTTGAAAAGGAAGAGATGATTTCAAAACCGATAGAGTCAACTCTTTTCCATGATTTGTAACGATAATATTTTAATATTTCTGAATAGATATCAACACAGGATTTCAGTAATTATGAATGATTTATCGGTTTAAAGACATCTGTTTGAATCTGTTTTTTTGTTAAACAGCCATCACGTCGCTCTTCTACGAACGACAACTCTCAAAAGTCGAAACTTGTGCGAGCTAAGTACTAACGAGGTCTTACTTCTTGACGTGAGATTTCTAACACTCATATTTCATATATTTTTTGAAAACGGAAAATACAGATTGGGTTCCACAATTACAAATTGTTTCATCAAATTATCTTGATTCTCAATTACATTTTTCAGTCCCAGTGTGCTCAAACCTTATTAGATCGCAAAGAAGAGGAAAGAATGTGCGACCATTTGATAACATCCGCCAGAAGAAGGGACAACGTTACGGCTAGCAGGCTCCTTGAGAAAGTTCGTAACATTATGTCCAACAAACACGGCGCATGGGGATACATGGACTCCTCAGAACCTAGATTGAACGAGTTCTGGAAACTGGACGCTTGGGAGGACGACGCCAGAAGAAGAAAGCGATTCGTACACAACCCGTTGGGCACGACTCACCCTGAGGCAAGTCTCAAAGCAGCAATCGAACACGGAGCTCCCGAAGATGCGATTTTGCAGGTATGAAATATTATCATTCACCAATTCTTTTCAGTTGCATTTCAACATAACATATTTTTGTTGCAAGCATTTGATTAACTCGGCCAGCTAGCATGTTAGTTATTGTGGGACGAATCTTGAAACTCAACCTCAATCCGATTGAGGTGAAATTTAACGCACATGTTTGGTTCTCGTACAGTAATTTGCCGCTATTTTAAATCCAATATGGTGGATATCACAAAGTGGCGATTTATTATTTACATAATAGGTAACCCCTATGCTGTGTATAGCAAGTGGAAAGATACTAGTAAAAAATATATTTTTGAACCTACAATGTTAATGTACTGGAAAGAATGTGCTCTGGATGGAGCGCATCCGAAACGTCTAATTTTCCATGACTCTGGCGCATAAATCAGGCCAAATTTGATCGATGGCATGAGATATGTTTGCTTTGAGGACCGCTGTGGTTTGTGACTTATTCAATACACCTGCGACTTGAGAAAACAACACAAGAAAAAGTCTAATGGGGTCAGATCGCACGATGTCAGTGGCCAGTTCACATCACCTCCACGTGAGATGGCCATGCCTCCAAATCGTTCATGCAGAATATATATGGCATAATCTGTGGTCATGTACGCCTATTAGATATCGTAGTTCATCCCTACTACTGTAGTCCAACACTGATTGGTATCAAGCTTCGAAGGGTGAATAAACGCTTTGGAGTGAGCCAATCTTGGAAGATTCTGCAAGAAGTCCATACATTTTCTTGTCATCCAGGTGTTCAATGTTTGTTTGGCAAAGCCTAAAGCGATGCCAATGACAGGTTCTGGTCCGATGAAACTGCTTGCAGCACCCTTCTTTGCAAAGGAGTCAGCAGCTTCATGGCTCCTTCCAGGCCAGTATGGCCATGAATCCAGACCAGAGACAATCTGTTGAGTCTTCTTATCGAGGAGAGTCGTTTTTGTCAATTTGCTACCAATTTAGACGTTGCTCGGTAGGAGCCAAGAGCTTCCAATGCCGCTTAACTGCCCGAGAAAATTTTTATTGACTTGTGTATGAGGTTGAATTCTTCTAATCTCTCCACACACAATTCAATAGCGTAAATTTTCGCTTGAAATACAGTCGCATAGGTTCCTAGGCAGGTTGATATCTCTGTCCTGGATCTGAGACTGAAAACAGCTGCACCAGAACCGGAAGGAGTTTCTGATCCATCTGTGAACCAACAACTATCTGCTCTTCATATTTCCTTCTGCCGGAGGATCCACTCCTCTCTACTCGGGAAGAGTACTTTATAAGGCAGTTCGTAGTTGACAGTTAGAGGCATAAAGTCAGAGGTCATGTTGTGACTTCCAGTGACAACTAACAGTCTGTTGCACTATGCATTAAAATGATTTGTGCAAATGGCAATGTGCACTAGTTCATGTGCAGTCCATCTAGCCTTCCTCTCCAGAAAAATGTGGAGAGGAGCCTGGGCCGTTTTCTGTAAAGCCTTCGGCCACCAGGCAGTTGCACTATAAGTGATTATTGGTCTGACAGTAATCACATAAATCCATTGGATTTGTTTGGGATCTAAACCCCAAGTTTTTCCACAAATCCTTCGACATAGGGACAGCTTGGCTTTGTGTAAAACGTTTTCCAAGTGAGAGTTTCAGGTGAGTATTTTATCAAGGACAGTGCAGAAATATTTTACCTCCATTCCAAATGGTGAAGGAGATTATCACAGTTTACCTGGGGTTGACAAACATCTGCTCCCTCAGGCACCAACTGTGAACAACATCCATCGTGCTTTGGATGATATTACAAGCTACCCTTTCCGATGTGGACCTTGTCAAGATGACATGGTCATCTGCATAAGCTTGCAGATCTACTTTTCTTCTGTCGAGGGCATCAAGCAGACTGTCCATCAGGAGCGACCACAGAAGGGGAGATAGTACCTTACTTTGAGGGTAGCCTCTTTTGACCCTTAACCTAATGGTCTTGCCTTGAAGAGTCGTAGTTGCAGTTCTGTTTACCAGCATGGCATAGCTCCAGCCAGTTATGGTCGATTCTTTCCTATCCAGAGATGATTCTATAGAATTGGGTAGTGCATTGTCAAATGATCCTTCAATATCGAGAAATACAGCAACCGCAATCTCCTTGTTGTCAAGGGACTAAGGCTGATAACTAAGGCTGATTGGTCGTACCGATTTAGGGTGTGGGTCTTTCCGACCCACTTTAGGTAAAAAAAAAAATTAGGATCAGTTGCTAACTACTCCAGAGCCCAACACACGTCGTTGTCTATGGCGACCGTAAAATGGGCGAAGCTAATGGGAGAAATTGTAGGCATTTGAATTCAATTTATAATGTCGCTAAAAGCTTGTTGCAGTATATTTTCATAGAAGTAGGTACTGGTTAATTGCAATAATCTTATCAAAGTATATAAATATTCTGGTTACCAATTCGCGCGACGAACTTTCATCAAAATAAAAATTATAGTTAACGACGTTCGGTCGTTAGTAAGTATAATTTATTATTACTAGAAGCAATCCTCTATTCTGGGCGAAACGTAGTTCAGTGTAATTGCTCAAGTACTCTTCCATGAAGGGTACCCTTCCATGAAAAATATTTTCTGAAACTTCCTACCCAGTATTGGAAAAATATCATTGTTTTTTAGGCCCGCGAAGAGTTCCACGCCCATCTGGCTGCTACCAGAGGTCAACAACAACAGATGCAAAATGACCTGATGGATGATAATGAACTCCTTGCAGAAGACAGAGAATTAGATACAGATCTCAGTGGTATGTACTACTGATATTCAAATTCATATCATTTATTTTCTTAAAATGACGAAAAATGTATAGGAACTAGTCATTTTGCCTATACTATGGCTCTAGGTACTATGAGTTCTATATTTTCGTGAGATGTTACAATCCTGTATGTTATGATATGGGTAAAATGTAAGAGAAATCGAATATGTTCACTGATCATATGACTCCGAAGTATACTTTCGACACAAAACTTCACAGTTAAGGTCAAAAAACGTAAAAAGTGAATTAGAGAGAGAGAGAGAGAGACAGAGAGAGAGTATGTGTTTATTATCAACGATACAGGACCTTATTGATAAACACTGGTAAAAAGAGAATATGTAAATAACTTCATCCAGATAAATATACAATTACATAATTACATGAAAATAATACATATAAATAATCACATCTCGGTAAAAGTACACATATATTATTACATATAAGCACCGTCAATTTCATATCGTTTCATATCGTTTCATATCGTTTCGTCATTAAAATATTCTGTCAGCTTTTAATAGCCTTTAGATGCCAGTCTTTCATGTAACTTTTTCCTAAAAGTTCTAAGAGAATCCATGTTCTTTATATCTTCAGGAACAGTTATTACGGGAGCTCAAATTGTCGATACTTCAGTAATTTACGTTACAGTAATCGAAATTATTAGGATGAAAAGATTAGGTTAATTGGTTTTAAATACCCCAGTAGCCTAAGTAACCCCAATTAACAAGATCATTAATTAAAAAAAAAGTGATAATTCAAAGTGACTTAACAAAGCCTCCAAGCGATGTTAGGTATTTGTTGTAGTGAGAAAAAAAAAACATAACTGTTTTTCAGGTCCTGTTAACATAAGCACGAAAGCGAAACTCATTGCACCAGGATTAGTAGCGCCAGGAATGGTATCGATTACTTCTGCAGAGCTGTACTTTGAGGTGGACGAAGACGACGAAGAGTTCAAGAAGATTGACAGTGAGGTAAGTGATGACTTCTTCTTAGTTTTAGGTTATTAATGTGATTATATTGAACAACTAGTCCTAAAGCAATGAGAAATCCTGGTGGTGTTGAAGACAATTGAATATTATAGTCAATATGAATAGAAAATTTAATATGTGACACTTCAAGATAGTATTTCAGTATTTTAATTTTCTACCAACAATATTCATTCCTCTTCAAAATGTTTTAATTATGGGAAATCCTTACTTGAGTAAATTTTCATGGATAACCTAGAAAAGTCAATTTTTAAACATCCTGAGACTGTTTTTTCAAATGAATTTAATCTCAAGCAATGTAAATCGCTACTTTCGCATAGGCACAGTTCTCTAAGAACTGTGGAACAAGGATTTTCCTGTAGTGCTTATGTGACATGTGTATGACGTTTTGGTAAAAAAAATCTTGAGCAAATGAACTTTAAACGTTCAAGCCAGTCTCTATATACCTACACAGTAGGTTTAATGGACTGACGCCTATCAGAAAACCACTACTCCCCTGGCTAATACCACGAAGGGCGTTGGACCACTGACTAATAGGAAAGTTTTTCTTCCTTATTCAGAGGAATCGGGCAAATTACGGATATGCAGTTGGTTAGTACCTCCTCCACTAGATGGAGTGACATTTTGTGATGTTCGCTCCAACTTCGGAAGGGGAATGAAATACTCTGAAAGAATTTCGATATTCAAATGTGGAATATTATTGACTTTAGGTCGATGATGGTCAGTATCTTGCACTGACGAGTGGCTAATGAGCTCGAAACCGATCTGCAAGTGTGCCCGTTACAGAATTGAAGGTTGACTCTTTCAGTTGTATTGCCAATTGCATATGCAGGAAATTTTCTGTGAAGATTCCTGTACTGACGCCTGTCGGATATAATCCAGATAGGTGTCAGTCCATTAAACCTACTGTGTAGGTCTATTGAGACTGGCTTGAACGTTTAAAGTTCATTTGTTTTAAATTTGTTTACTGGCCAGTCTTCAAGCATAGCCCACTGACTAATAGGAACGTTTTGTTATGTTTCACAGGTACCAAGAGATAGGGATATTAACAAAATTCATGGAAACATTAAATTAACTATTGAAGTCGAAGCAGACAATTCAAAGTCAATCCATTTCTTGGAGTTAACAAATAGTAGAATAAACAACAAACATGATATTTCAATTTATCATGAACCTTTCCATACAGATTTTACTATTCATTACGATTCTACCCATCCCTATCAACACAAAATAGCATCTTATAAAAGCATGATTCACAGATTAGTCAATGTTCCTCTTTCAATTAATAATTTTAATTTTCTTATTAGTCAGTGGGCCATGCTTGAAGACAGGCAGTAAACAAATCTAAAGAAATGAACTTTAAACGTTTAAGCCAGTCTCGAATATACTGGTTGAATGGACTGACGCCTATTAGAAAACAATTACTTCACTGGCCAAAACCACGAACGGCGTTGGATTATATCCGACAGGCGTCAGCGCAGAAATCTTCACAGAAAATTTCCTGCATATGCAATTGGCAATACAACTGAAAGAGTTGACCTTCAATTTTGGAACGGACACACTTGCAGACCGGGCTCCTTAGCCACTCGTCAGTGCAAGATAGTTAACATCATCGATCTAAAGTCGAATTTGAAAATCGGTGGAAAGCATCTTCATGTCATTCAGGCTTGGAGTCCAGCTCCCTTACCGTTTCGGCTGATTTATGGTCTCGAGAAGGACCAACGGGTTCATTACTGATGGTATGGCGGCATGATGTCCTCAGACATCAGTACCGCCCTTCACGGGATACCCCTACCTGGCTGGGGTGGGATGGATGAAAAAGCTATTCATCCGTTAACGGGGGACATGAGGGCCTCATTCGACAGAGTGTCGGGGCCTTCTATATCGGAAGGGGTCGTCTACAGCATAATCTGTGGCTTCCCTAAGTAACGGGTTTTCGTGAGTTTCCGTACCTTCAAAAACTCGCTGATTCCTCGTCTGAATGGACTGCCGAATGGAAGGTAGCTGCAAATCTCTGCGGATGGCTTCGTTCCGCACGAACCAAGGAGCATTCACAATCATCCTAATTAACTTGTTTTGTAATCTTTCCAGTCTATTAGAAGGCCGAGGTATTTTACCCGCGCTTGCCAGTCAATCTCCTTTCCAGAGATTCTCATTTTTCTGGCCCATGGTTAACACCTGAGTCTTGTCCAGGTTTACTCGGATCTTCCAATCAAGCTACCAGCGCTACCAGGTCGTCCAATGCACGTTGCATGTAGATGACGCCGAGCTCTCGACCCATGGAAGATGAGAGAAGAGCCGTGTCGTCGGCGTACAGGGATATCTTCACACGGTCGGACCTGGGGAGGTCGCTGGTGTAGACAGAATACAGCGTCGGAGAGAGCACGGCCCCCTGTGGCACTCCGGCGAGGATCTCTCTGTTATCAGACAGAGAGTCCTCTACTCTGACCTGAAAAGTTCTGTCTTTCAGGAAAGACCCGATCCACCGGATCAGGCCCCGAGGTAGGTTGAACGCGTTTAATTTGTGCAGAAGGCCTGAGTGCCATACTCGCTGATGGTGTTTTCGACCAACCTTAGAGCCTGTAATTCAGTGGAGTGATCTCTCCTGAAGCCAAATTGTTCGTTAGGCAGAACATTTCGGTCCTCGACTTCGTTGAGTCTTTGCAGAACAATTCTTTCAGCCAGCTTAGCCGCCGACGAGAGTAGACTGATCGGGCGATAGTTCTGCGGGAACAGCGGATTCTGATCCTGTTTTGGGATCCTGACGACGATCGGATGCTTCCACCTTCTGGAGAAGTGTCTGAGGGTCAACGAGCTGTTGATCAAATTCAGTAAGAATTCAACGCAGTTTTCCGGGAGCCTCTTCAACAACTTGTTGGTTATTGAGAAGACCCCCGGGAATTTGAAAATCGAAATTATTCCAGAGTATGTCATTCCCCGTCTTGAATTGGAGCGAACAACAAAAATGTCACTCCATCTAGTGGTCGACTCTTTCAGTTGTATTGTCAATTGTATATGCAGAAGCGATTCGGGACGATTCTCCTATCGATAAGTTAGAGAATCATAATCAAAATTATAGAGTTTTAACATATTCTGGACAATCAACAAAAAAAGTGGCTTAATTTTTGAAACTTTTCCAACGTATAACATGTTCTATATCATAGAACAGGTTATACGTTGGAATAGTTTGTTAAAAATAATGAAGACAAAACATCCAAGTCCGAGAAATCAGGAGTATATAAATTAAAATGTGGAACTTGTTCCAAGGTATTTATTGGTCAAACTGGCAGACGATTTAGGAATTGCATCCAGGAACATCATATGAGGTATTTAAAAAAGAAAACAAGTTCAACACATTCAAATCATCCGGATTCGAATATATTACCCATGAAGTATTATTATTGATGTAGAATTGATATTATATCCTCTAGGTAATCATAACTGAAGATGTACCATAGTTATATAAAAGTTGAGTAGATGCTTTAGGTAATCATGTTGGAGTTAGTACTTGAGTAGGTAGTGTATATAAATATTGTTGAGTTGAGTTGAGAATGAACTTTTAGTACGTAATTGACAACGAAAAAGTTACTGTGCTAGCGAAACATGTCGTGATATTTTTTCAAAATAAAGTTCGTCGAGATTGAATCGTAAGGTGTAGTTTATGAAAGTATCATCCGGTTACAGGATTTCTATTGCCAATCTTTGGGATTGATTTCTGATAAAGTGATAAAGTGAGTCATTTTCTGGGAACCAATGAAATGTATCAGAAACTATAACTGAGAGTTATCAACATTCTTATTCTCAACAGCGTCATTGTTATTATGTACTTCAATCAATGCCTAAGTACCTTCAAGAAATGTTTTAATTCCCAATGTCTTCAGATTTACATAAAGCTTGAATGAGTTATTCGATCCCAAATTCGCTATGTCATGAATGCTTAATTGAATATTCAAAGTTGATTTTGCATGCTACCCTGCGGTATAAATGCACCACTCTGATTTAAATGTTTTTACTGCATCGAGGAAATTTGTTATCAGTTAGAAACGTTCTAACATCTACAGCAATCATGCGGACGTGAAAATCATGTTTTTTGTAAGACTTGATTGATGGAACACAAAAACAAACAACAGTTTGAAAGAAATTATTTGTTTATATCAGATCAGAAAAAAATAAATAAATATGTGCTATTCTTCTGAAATTTTGTATATACCCATCCTTATTCTTACAGTATAATACGAGTAATCATTTCATGCCAAAGTTTTTCAAATGTCTCACGTATCAAGTTCACATCAGAGTAACTGATAAAATAAAGGCAAAAAAGCTCATGAAAAATAATTTCAAGGTAATTGTTTTAATATAAGTATAACAAGGTAGGAGGATGCATCTAAAATAATTACGGAGCATCAAATATAATTAGCGAATCGGTTTCAGTTTCATTCTCCACTTTAAATATCTTCGTTTTTTGCTAGAAACCATTTATCAGAGACTGGAGCTTATTGAAATTAGTTACGCGTATTGCATATTCATTGCGAAAGTGATAAATCATAACTAAGTGGGCGTGTCCCACTGACAGGCTTATGTAAACACGCTTAAAATGTTAGGAGTTGAACTTTAATAATGGGTCTTTTAACTTTTACTGCTGCGGTTTCATATGGGCACGACGATTAGCATTCGCTGACTACCGGTCCGGACTGGGTTTAGTTTAGGTTAATGAAAAACTTGGGCTGAATTTCAATGAACCAACAGCAAAAGTCCTACATGCGGATGCAATTGAATGGTGTTTTTTATAAAGATGACTAAGTACTGTTAGACAATCTTTGGATTGGGAAGTTTATTCCACCAGGGACTCCGTTCTTCAAACAAAATAGTTTTTTAAAGGTATAGTTCACCCGGAACTGTTCACGTCTAACGACTCGTCGTCGGGGTGTGTTAAGTTGAACCTCGAAGGCTGTTATATTTTGCCGCGTTACTTCTGACAAATACTG